GGCGTTAAGCGGTTTCATCGGCTGGCGAACTGGCGATATTCGGAACGGCGGCGCGCGAGATACGTGGTATGACAATTCGGCGCGTGGCAGGTGTGCGGGATAATCGCCGGCGGTGCTATCGCGATCAATTCCTTCCCGGGAATAGCGGAGGCTCTTCTTCGCGCCTCTTCGTCGTTCACGGGGGCAATTACCGGGATCGGCACGGCACGCGAGAACGCAGAACGCAAGAAGAGGAATCAAGAGCAATTACGAATCGATAGGTACGTCTGAGTTGGCGGTGTATCTCTGAATTTTGTCACTATCGCGCGCTCTTCCTCTGCCCTTTCCTCCCCCCTCTTTCTCTCTCTCTCTCTCTCTCTCTCTCACAATCTCTTTTTCTCCGAAGAACGAGATTGGAATTCGTTACAAATTTGATAAGATTAAGAAGACTTAAAACTAGAATGAGATTTCCATTACGGTGCGCTTGGAAAGCTCGAAGCTCGATCTTGATAAATTTCGAAAGAGTAAGAGCACTCAAGTTGGAATTAAATTCCTCATTCCCGTCACTGCTGCACTTGATATAAACAACAACAGGCTTTGTGCGGAGTCGGCCACTGGAAAATTTCAAATCCGCACTTGAGAATATCGAAACTAGATTTCGGTTACATCCAAAGGATAAAGGAATTAAAACCGTAATCAGTTTTGTGGTCGTTGACACTCGCATGCGTGCAGGCGCAAAGCCTCAATATTTGCGGTAATTGTATTATTATAATTAATCGAATTCAAATATCATTGCGCCGTTGCGTTGCGTTCTACGACATCGCATGGTAGCAGTGCAATAATGCGAAATTCGATTAATTATAATACAATTAACGCAAATATTGGAGCTTTGCGTCCACACGACTAAAAGCACGGGTATGTCTTTCACCTCGTCCTGCGGACATTTTATTAAATTTTACAGCATACCGGCAGCCTTCGTCGATGATCGATAGATAACGCATGCCCTACCGAGAAACGCGCGAACCGGGGAATGAAAAATAAATGTCGCGCTTTAGACGAACACTGCGCGATCAAAGGCGACAAACGCACACAGCGTTATAGCAAGCCTACTTTATGCTAGAATTAATTAGCCGTAGCGGACAGGGACACGCTCCACGCTCGCAGTTCTATCTGTCTAATCTATCTAATTACCCAATGACGTATCATAATGAAATTATGAATGGATTAAATAGTAGTGTGACCGAACGTTCTACGTCGCCTTAATTAAGTCGCCGCCCGGTTAAGCCATCTATAGATGTTCTTTTGCTCTGAGGAAAAAGAAACTTTGGATTATCAATGTGATAGAATTTGCATGAAAAGGAATTTGCGAAGCACGGAATCATGCTTATCCTTTAATAACGTCACTATTTTTATCCTACGGTTTTATTCAGCGTGATATTCAAACTCAATCTCATACATACGGACTTGGTAATTTAATTATCTTTTTACGAATCTCCGCTTGTTTCCGGAATTGAATTTATTTCGTGTGAATAAATACTGCGAGAGAAAAAAATGCAAATAAAATTTGACGCAATCGGAAACGGTTACGCGATTCTCCAAACTTGAAAGCACACGCGTACTGTGTATTCTAAGAGATCGAGGGGCGAACAATCGCCGCCTTTGATCGCGATTTGCGTCGAGGAAGTTGATACCGTTCGACAAGTATATTACTACTCGCGATAAGTCACAGAAATCGAGATTGCTCCGGGCAATGTTCGCTCGAGAGATGGTACATGAATGCCCATTGTCCGCGATATCTATCTTACAAACGATCACGTCGACGAGGATCATTCAGCACTGGTCCGACTCTTAAATCCTACTCGATCATCAACGTGCTTTCTCTCCGTTTCTGATAAATAAACATATAGCTTTAAAATTGTGGTATTAGTATTATTTCTCCTATTTTTATAATCTATTTATCCGGAAAATGGATCTTACATTGTTCGGTCGAGTTGAGGCTTTTAATAATTTAGCAAATAAATCAATAACGCACGCGCAAAATGATTTAGGATGTGTAAAGCGATGTAAAGATGGAAATTATTTCGTGCGTGTGTCTTTCAAAGTTTCTAAAATGTCTGTGCGGAAGTTACGTGTTCGCCGAGAATATAAAATTCTCTCTTTATAAACAAAGACTCGAAAGACACTGAGAATATTGAAGTGAATGGAGCTAAGCTGAGCTAAACGATGACGCGCATGACTGGCCAGCTCTGAATAGAGCGTCGCCGCGCATATTTGGTCAATTTTTTCCAGTTCTCAGATTGTCCTGGAATTTGTTTTCGGGATCAATAGGAGTGCATTGAGTTTACTCCGCTGATACTTCCGCACTTATTTCCGGAAAAAAACAAGAAAAAGAGCGCAAGAGAAGAAGAAGAAAGGAATTGGAGAGGGAGAAAGCAAACCGTGACTGTGGTAGCTCTCGGAGAAAACAAATTCCAAGGCGATGCTGGAGCGATTGCGTGAAAAATTGACAAACTGCGCGCGACTCTGTCCGCCTTGCACCATCATTTTTCAACCTCGGCTTAACAACTAGTGTTTTATTTCTGACAGTTTCGTTATTCGATATCGATCGAACGGGACGATAGTGCGGTCGCAGCAACCAGTTTGGCGAGATTAATTATTTAGAGACAATCGGTTCGGTAACAATTTATATTTCCCATGGGTCAAAGGGCGTGCAATATGCATGCGTTTGTAAGTAATAATGCAGCATATACCGAAAACGATAGCGGAGCAACATCTCGCTTAGTCGGAAGCTGTCGTAGAATTAATAAATTTTCGTCATCTCACGCCCATTCCAAATTAACAAATTTCATAATCCTTTTAGACAAAAAAAAAAAAGAATTTTTATATCTATATTTATATAACTCCCTCTCAGTTGGCTTTTAATATAAATCGCGATAAAAACTTTGACATTTTGTAAAGCCGGAGTTCGCGTATAGAAACTCCACGACTTTTTAGCAATATTGTAACAGCGAAATCGCATTTCATTTCGGAAACGCCTGTGTGCTCGAAATTTTTGTTCGAATATTGTATATATACGGGCGCGGAGAAAACATTTGACGCGCGAGAGGGACTATACGGACTTCGAGTATTTAAATGCTCGCGTTCGATACCTCGGCGGCGCGATAAACACGTAGCCGGGCTAAATTGAGAAAATTATATTCCTCTTCCCGTCCCGGCGAGTACTCTTTTGCATTATCGAAGCTGAAAAGGCGGCTAAAGTGTTTGTGTACCCTGAAGATCCCGGGGAACGGCGACGGGCGCCGTGTGGCGCACGGTACCTCTGCCGGCAGTATTCCCTTGTTTAAAGTGGCTGTGTGCGCGCACTGGCGAGGAATATCCCGGGACCGGGTGTACGCAGAGACGCGGGTGATGGAGGGTTAAGCTAACAATCCCTTCCCCCCGTGCCGTTCCTCGAGTGAAAACTTTGAATGCCATGAGATCTCGCCGGAAGAGAGAAGAATTACTCGGTCGGAACAAGGAGTAATCGTCGTCGTTGTCGACGCGGCGAAAGTTAAAAATAGACACCGGCGCCTCGGCGAGAGAGAGAGAGAGAGAGAGAAAGAGAGAGAAGTAGCCCTTCTGAAAAGTCTGTGGAATCGCGATAGCGAGGCACAATGAAATGTAACACGGGGCGCATAAACTCGGGGGAAAAAAAAAACACTCGGAGAACTGTCTGACAGTTCTTGTGAGAAAGCGCGATGTTTACCGCTCGAAACGCCTTTGCGCGCCCTTTGTCGTCGGGAAAGCTGGAGGAGTCTAGCCCGAGGAGAGTATTTCGCGACCGAAAATTGAACATGACCATTTACTACTGTGTAATAACTAGCTTTGCACCGAACCACTTAAACAGCAATTGTAGGTCATCTCAGCAAGGCACTTGGCACGACACAATACTGTGCTCTCTCTCTCTCTCCTCTCTCTCTCTCCTCTCTTTCCCTCTCCCTCGTTTCACCCGATGCACAGCCGAAGCTATCGGTCGAGATTGTTGACAATGAGACTGGAAAGTGGCTCTCGAATGAATCCGTTAAGTACTAAATGCGAACGAATAACGAATTGCCTGTGAGACGGAATTGCGCGATGGATGACAGAAACGCGATTAAAAATGTATTGATGTTACATTTAACCTTTGCATACTTGGGAGACGCCGTAACGGCCCACCCTCGCACTTTTATTCTCTCCTCGCGATCGGATTCAGTCAATCGGATTTAGCCCGTCGCCGATATATAACTGACGTAATTAACTTTTGCAAAAATTCTTGCAGCTGCGCGCCGGTCTTGTAATTGCATAATCGCTCTGATAAGTTTTCTCGGAAGAGTCCTGAGACAAAGAGCGAAGACAGGATGTTGAATTATTTCAAAGCTACTTCCACCTCGTTAATGCTACGAGGTCGGCGACGTTTGAATGGTCAAAAGGAGTAACTTAGTCTTCGAGTTCTGTATTAATATCGTACTCAAGATCTTCCCAGAATACTGATTAGAGCCCCGCTTGGAATTTAAATTTCATTGCGCATCATTGGAGAAACTCCGATGAACGCTTTAAGCGGCTTTAATAACGTTCATGTTCTACACCGTCGGGCTAGAACATCGATGTACAGTTCTAAAAGATAGCAAGTCGACTAGGAATTCATCGATCGTCATTTCAAGTACTGCACGAGGTCGTTCTGCGAGCTACGATGTTCTTGACGCATCGGCCAATCGTGACAACGATCGAAACACGTTCAAATTTTATAGCTCTAATTTCGCAGAAGGTCTCTGATTGGCCTCAAGCGTTTTCCACTCGCGTTTATCGCGGGAAGATTTTTTTTTCCCCATCTCAATTTGATTCGTCGTTAGATTTGTAGAAATATATAGACGCAGGCAATAAAAAAAATTAGAATTGGAACAAAGAAGTTCACCGCGAGATACAAATGGTTGATTGTTGCAAGTTTCTCTCGTACTTCTGCTATTAAAGTTATTGTCTCGCATAACTTGAAATCTCGCTGAACGAAATGGTCGCTCCGCTAATGCTGCCACGCGACCCGCCTAACTTATCAGGTTCAACATAGTTCCGAAGAAAGTTCTTAACGCGCATACACTTTTGTGGCTCTTCGTAACGCATATATATTTTTGCGGAAGTTCGAATTTAAGGAATGTGCAGATCTCGTGCCGAGTCTCGAAGATGTTTATCAAGCAGGCACGAGAAGTTTGCGTCGGGATAACAAAAGTGCGCGGGTGGCTGGGGAAAAAAAAAATTGAAAAATTACTTCGAGGAAAACTTAAAGATGGGGTATCCCTTCGCCCTGAAGTTGGACAGTCGCGATAAAATAAAAGGATATTTGTATAAATTTAGTGGCAAATCGCACCCGTTGACTTTCCCCACTTTTCTCTCCCCCTCGCTCTTTTCGCACAATCTCATTCTTTATTCTTGCGCCGTGCGGGCGTCCCCATAAAAAAAAGTTTTCAGCACGACCTCAAGCGTTTCCAGTGTCCTTTTCAATTATTAAGCAACAGCAGCGAAACCCTTCGCCCTCATTCCCAAATATAATGCGTCCTGTGGGCATTAGCGCTTTGACATATCCCTCCTCCCGCCCATTTCACACATTCCCGAAATACTGCGATTGGCTTTTCCGTCTCACTCTCCCCTATCCATACATCCCTCTTCCTCTCACTCGGTAACTGCATTAAACCTCAAATCCATGTTCATTATGGATAGATTCCTCAGCCATTAACATCCCTATAATCTTACCCATTCCGAACAACGCCATCAATCCTCTCCGAAAGCCGGCCCTTTCCATCTCAATTTTCCCGATCATCCCTCACCGTCCGGTAATCCTGTAAGATGATAATACGACAGTGTCGTTGGCTCGTGTAAAATATATAGTAACGCGACATTATTATTAATTAGCTCACGAGCGGTCGGGAAGCTCGGCTTTCAGTGATTGCAATTGAAATATATTGTATCATATTTGTTGTGTATAAGATTTCCCCGGCAGCGACGACTTTTTTTTATCGAACTGGGAAAAGAAGCGCCCCTCGTATCGACGTAAATAGATTTATTCGATTCCGTATGCAATCGAGTATGTTATCGCGCGCGTTTCCAGGGGATAGAGAGAGCTTCCGGCGGAAAAACACACAAAAAAAAAGGATCGTTTACCGCTTCTGTCGACAAACACGTCGACAGAAACTGAGAAGTGCGCACGATGCCGGCGACCTGAGATCGCTAAATTCGCGCTCGCCTCGAGGATATGTTATTTCTGAAGGGATCAAGTTCGCATCGCGCGGATCAAGCACGTTCCGCGATGGCGGCGGAAAGTGGGCCAGGTCGGCAGTGTCGGAGCTGGTAAGTTAACGGCGACAATGTAAAGCGGTTTCATCCCTTTGCCCGGCTCGATAGCGCCTCGCGGCTGTGGGGATTAAACTTTAGATAGAATCTCGAACTTTATTTATCTACTTTGATAGTGCGCGAGGGACGAGAGTTGTCCTTAAATCTCTCGCCTTCTCCCGAGCGATGCAACGGCGCCGCGCGAGATAAAGCTCTAATTTCGGATATGACACACATTACGACACGCGCGTGAACGGCGACACGTGCGATAACAGGTACTAAAACAGATTCAAATGATTTATTTTCGGAAAGAGATCTTTTATTTATTTGTGGTCTTAGAAGAACGTTGGCGGAACCTGCATCGCATTTGCATTCCTCCGAGTAAATGTATCGCAAATAAAAATGCATGTCGATAAAATCAAGGTCAGCGATTCTAGGATACGTAAACATAAGATTTTCCGTTACTCCGTTTTTCTTCACGTGAATCCTCATTATTCTTCATTAACCTTGTCCTTGTTCTTCATTAATCTTCATTAATCCTCCGCAAAGCTATTACTAACTCGACTCGACTCGTCGGAAATAGACGAGGCGAGTGAAACTAATACTATTCTTAGCTTACTTCGCACCCCTTTTACAAAACTCGCGTGCTCTAATCTGACAAAACAAATAACTAGTTGACTCGGGTTTGTTTGCAGATGCAACTGAGAGGCGTTAGTCGCGATGGAGCACAATCGACGTTAGTGTGATCGCCTGGAATGAAGCAGTGAGATAAAGGCTCGCGCGCGGAATTAGCGGAATGCAACGTTTATAATGAGAGACTGTCTTGGCAATAGCGCGAACTAACAACGCGCCCGATACAAAATATCGGCAATTCCTTCCGCTGTCGTGCTCGTATCGGATGCCAGGCCTACAAAACTCAGGTTTCCGACCTGTTTGTTTAACCGGTTTCAGTCAGCGAAGACGACCGGCGATCGGCTTATCTGATTTGACAGACGAATGTTGTTGTAATTAAAAATATATTTATCTAAGTCGACTTCGTATTGACTCGGATGTATGATTATCACTTTGAATAATTATGCTTGGAATCGGTATCGGACGATTCGGTGTTCCATTCGGATTTTCTACGACAACAATCGCGATCGTGTAAACGTGTTCAACAATACCGATCGACGCAACATGCAACGCGCGTCACTTCGTTCCCGGGAACGGAGGCGATCGTTGTAGTAAATCGATCGTGGGGAAAATCACGCCGGTGTGTCGAGTATCTGCTTCCGGTGTCGTTTGTCGTCATGAGTACAAAAATCGAAAGACGCGCGGCGACGAGCGTCACGTCGGGTTTATCGGGCTCGCACCCGATGACCCGGAAGAGCTCGAGATGAAAACGCGCATCGCGTCCGCATCGCAGGATGTCGTCGGGGCTGGCCGGATGAAGGCGAAGAGAGAACGGGACGGGATGAGGACGACCGGATGGATTTCTGCGGCGATCGCCGGCGGAACGGCGAATCGTTCGTTGGTGCTGTTGATCGCGTGCTGCTGCTGCTGGCTGCTGATCGGCCAGTGCGCCGGGCAGAAGCCGATCAACCTCGGCAGCAGCAAAAAGCGCGACGTCTACATTGCGGGCTTCTTCCCGTACGGCATTCACGTGCCGGAGGGCCACATCGGCCGTGGTGTCATGCCCGCGGTGAAGCTCGCGGTGGAGCACATCAACGAGCATCCCACGATACTCAGGGACTATCGGCTACACATGTGGTGGAACGACACGGAGGTAAGGTTTGTTTTCTTTATACCCTTTTCTTATTTTCGTTCCCATTGTAACAATTCCCCTTATAAAGATTATTCTTCGAGTTATCTCAAGCATTGGATTGTTTGTGTTTGTCTGACCGATATCTTATGTCAGCACAGAAATTGTTAAAAGTATTGTTGATAAAGTACTAGCTCGTTTCGTAACTTTCTTTGCCATTATTTTTGATGTATAGAATGTGTCAGACCAGCAGTATCTGGTTAACAGCAGATTCCTGAGGTCACTTGGAGACAGAACTTTTTATACTAAAATATCAGGGCTGCAATTGTTTTTAAGCGAAAAGTGTTTAAGTTTGATTAATTGTCAAAAATTCACGCGCTCAGCTACGCATTATGATCTTTATATCCTTATTATATAAGAAACCTTAGAAATCTGATATTAACGAGTGATCTGAAATACTTAGTATATTTCACATTATTTTTAAATCTGTTCTCTCAATAATATTAACAAAGAGAAAACAAATTGGATTGATTTACCGCACGATTTACAACACTAAAGTTGTTCACAAATTGATCTACCAAGGACACTTAAATTATAGTAACGTTTAAAATAATTATTCGAGAAACAATTATCACGCACATTAAACTTTTATACAAATATCTAAAGAATTATATATTTATATCTAATAATTATATATATTAAAAATTTCAAAGTTTCTACATGCGTCACATTACATAATATTCCACGTACAATATTTTGCAAATGAAACATAGCAAAAAATGATTATTTACCTTAAAGTTACTCCGCCAGCGCACTTCCTGAGGCTTCTTCTCTCAGTCCTTCTTGCAGTTCTTTGAGGCACTCACACGACATGAATAAAAAAATCGCATAATATTTTAAACGACACTCTCGACACGTATTTTGTCGTTCGGACAAAGTAAAGCTCGAATATCGTCGCACGGATTATACGTTCGACACTCAGCGCGTCCGTAACAAGTAATGGCGGAAAGAGTAGGATCGAGAAGTACGAGAAATAAGGATAATACTATTGAAGAGGATGACGCGTCGATATGGAACGATCTGCCTTGTACGAGGTACCGCCATGCAATAAACTTATCAAGAACAAAGTCGAAGTCGGAAACGGCGCGACCTTGTCTTTGATATGTTTATTACACCTTTGTTATTCGCACGGCGGTGCCTAGTACGAGGCAGATCGCTCCATATCGACGCGTTATCCTCTCCAATGGTGCTACCCTTATCATTTCCCTTACAATTTTCAATCTCACTCTCGCCGTTACTTGTTACACTCACGCAGAACGTATAATCCGTGCAATGGCATTCGAGTTTTATTTTGTCCGAATGACAAAATACGTATCGAGAATGCCGTTTAAAACGTCGTGCGATTTTTGTATTCAGGTCACGAACGCGTGTAAATGCCTTAGAGAATTTAAGGAAGACTGAGAGAAGAATTCAGGAGGGGAATCGAAACGCTGGCGGAGCAACTTTAGGATAAGTAATCATTATTATTTGCAAAATATTGTACGTTAAATATTATACAATGTAACGCACATAGAAACTTGTAAATATTTAGTAAAAAATTTTGCAATTTTTAATATTTATTATTATTAGATATAAATTAGATATAATTCTTTTATTAGATATTTGTATAAAAGATGAGTAACAGTTTAATGTGCGTGATAATTATTTATAACCTTTAACGCTGCTATAATTTGACTGCATTAGAGTGAGTCAAATGAAAACCTTAAATATGTTTTCTCACAATTTGTTGAACAAAAATGGTCCACACTTGTATAATTTTTCCATGCAGTCTTTGTCGCGTTCGATACAAGTCCGCCCTAGTGCGCAAAGTGCATGGATTCCTGTAGAAAAAAATTCTTTCGGTCGCGTGCGCAGCCATTCATGCACCGTCGAGGTGAGTCTGTCACAGAACTTACGCTGTTTTTGAATAGTACAGGCATGAAACCTATTGAAATTCATCGTCAAATGAAGTTGCAGTACGGTGACGTACGTCTGTCACTCCAGCAAATATACGAATACGGACTAAGAAGAAATTCATGCACCGTCGGCGTTCTGTGACAGACTCACCTCGACGGCTGCATGAGTGGCTGCGCACGCGACCGAAAGAATTTTTTTCTACAGGAATCCATGCACTTTGCGCACTAAGGAGGACTTGTATTGAACGCAATACAGACAACAACTTCGATGTTGCGCATCGTGCCGTCAATTCAATTTGTTTTTTTTTTTTTAATATCATTGAGAAAATAGATTTGAAAATAATGTAAAATGTACTAACAATAAGTGTTTTAAACTATATCATCTGTTAATAGCAGATTTCTGAGCTTTGTCACATGGTAAGGATATAAAAATCAATATGCCTGAGTATGTAAATTTTTGACAATCTAATTGATCAACTTTCAACACTCTTCATTTGAAAACTATTACAGCCTCGACATAGTGTAAAAAGTTTCGTCTTCAAATGACCTCGGAAATCTGCTATTAGTCGATACTGTGTAGTCTGGCACACCCTGTATTTTCCGTTTAGATTGAATATGACTGACCGGAATTCTTTTAAGATTTTTCATACAATTTCAATATTCTGCGCCTTTTTCTGATATGCAAAAGATGTGACGTTTGAAAATACAATTTGAAATTTAGGTCAAGGAATGAATCGATTTTTATCGATGAGAAACTTGTGTATGTATTAATAGAAACGGAATAAGAAAAGATGGAAAATTGATCGAATATATCAGATAAGATATCGCATATTTATGAATAAAGATACGTGGGAAAATATTTGAAATTATTTTGCATTATATATTCTTTTTATATATTTATCTAATTTTTTTATCGAATACACATGATTAACAGAATGGCGTAAATAGATCAACATTAACGTTATTTAATCGTGAAAAGCTGTTTTGTTGTGTTATTATTATCATGCGGTAGCGTCTCGACGTCAGGTGCATAAAAATAGCAACGGACCGTATACGATCATGTTCGTGCCACTGTCTATCGCCGAGCGTTATCGACTTCTCTTTTCGGAGAAATTTTACACTTCAAAAATTGCCATTAAAATTCTTCAACGAATATCTTGTAATAGAAAATCTATATTTTCTAATTATATTTTAACAGGTTAGCGGATTAAAAAGTGTTATTTATCATTTTAACGTGCTGAAAATAAGCTTCATCAACTTTATTAATTATTAGTAATTATTAGTGTTTGTTATTTTTTATCCATATAGTAATAAAGCTTTTATCGATATAGTAAGTAAACTAAGAACAAATTTGTATATTTATTTATTTAAAGCAACATTAATTGGAAACTATTAGATATAAAGTTAATATTTTCACAATACTAATTAATCAAGTATAATAATGAATACTTTTCTGTCTGTTAGTATGTCAATTAACTGTCTTACCATTTTTGTTTCACTGTATGTATCAATCGTTCAATTGTCAATCAATCAGTTTTATTGCTATCTACTTGTCAATCAATTTGTCATCAATTGAAAACGGCTGAACGAATTTGTCTGAAATGATAACAGATAGCATATCCTCTTGTAACGTTACACCCCAATAATAATATTTAAATCAAATAGAATAAATGTCAAAAATATTGAAATATTCAGTTTTTGTGTTGAATTTGATATAAGTGAGATTGAAAGATATATACGATGAGAGAAAATTTAAGTACAAGTAAGCTAATAATTTATCGGTTTTTAACAACTCTTGTGCCGATAATGCTCAAGCAAATTCAATGCAAAAGCAATTCGAGCAACCAATTCAAATTATTAATTAATTAATAATTAATTTCTTTCCTTGCTCGAAATGGTGCCAGTAAAAAGAGTCGCCGGATAAAGTGTACGTTACTCAACAAAATACTAATGAAACTTGATGTTGACGATGTACGGTGTTTTCGCTCTATTACAACGATAATCGGAGAATAAAAGCGACACAATTTTTTGCTGTACAACGAAGCGAGAATTAAGCTCGCTCTGAAATCACAGCGCCGAGCAAAATTCGTCACGCAAATGCGACGCATTTGGATCCGTCGAATATTTGACGGGTGAACGCATTGTCCCGAGGGACTCGGTGGGGGCTTTGCCTTTGCCAGCCGTCGCCGATGTTGCGCATCGGTCGATACATCCAGCACAGCAACCGCCACTTGTATCTCAATTTCCGCTGAATTAGAAGCTATCGACGCGGGACGATTTATCGCGTTGTTTACCGCCGCGATGGCAACGGGATCGCCGCAAATTCCGCAGAATCCTCTTCTGCTTGATCCCGCGACGCGATTCTTCGCGATTCGATAACATGTAAGAATCGACAACACCGACAATCGCTTGCGCAAACGCGCCCTTTATTTTCCAAACAGACTTTAAATGTTCAAGTTTTTGTGTGCTCTCCGTCTATGCGCCGCTCTGCATATGACGCCTCTTGAGTTGCCGACGTAGACGACGTGGGGAAATTGCAGAGAAAACTTCCAGAAGTATGAGTGCACACATCGAGTCAAGGATACCCAACCGCGACTGCAACTTCGAGGGAAAACTTTACGTTTACCTTTATGCAGCGTCTGGAACTATATGCGAACACCCATACGAACTCGTGCGCGAGTCTCGCGGAATTAGGTCCCCTTCGAGGCTGACGTCTGCATTCGAGGAGGCGGCGTGGATTCGCGCGCGCTTTAAATTATAGATGTAAATTTATGCGAACGTGCTATGGGCCGCGCGACGGCTATGAAAAACAATGCGATTGCGCCCGCGCGCGCACGAGTCGTTGAGCGGAACAGCGGTGTAAATCACAATTTTCTCATTTTGAGAAACGAAGAGATTTGTAGAGCCATTCAACGTAAAATATTCAGTGGCTCACTTACGCGCTTTCTCGATTATGAGTATTCGTGAGAGAAATGTAGATTTTTATCCTACGTTCGAATAATAATACACGTATAGTATCCTCTTAAAAATGTACAAGTTATTATTGTTGACTCGAATCGCCATTTCGCTCGTATAAGCTTTCTCGCGAAACAGGAAATACGAATGGATGAAAAAATTAGCCGATCGAAAAATTTCTCTGCACGTGCTGAAAACATCCGCTGAAACCGGAACGGAAGAATGCAGCTAGATTATCTATTTAAATATACTCGACATTCTTTCGATAAAGTCCGACGTGCAATGCAGTAACGCGCGACATATATATTTTATAGTCGGTTTGTATAGTCACATGACAGAATTATCCTCTTTTTCTCGCAAGTAAGAGAAGTAAACAGTCGTAACACAGCATTTTTTCCCCTTTTTCTTCGACATAATTTCTCGCTCGCTGAACCGGGAGAATCACGTCGCGATTTACGACACGGTGCGCTCGCGCTCGAAAAATTGCTGAGACTTCAGACATATCGAATTATGAGAGTCTCGAGAAAGCTGACGACAAAAAGTGGAGCAGCTTGTGCGAAGACGGGAAAGATTAATCGTTTCCGATTGCTTGTCGAAAGGATATTGTGAGAGGAATACAATCATAATGTACACAGAGAGAGCCAACATGTATTTTGATATACGCTCTGTATCCACACAGTAGTTACAGTAAATATGCGTGCAGACGCTTCCGGCCATTCTCGTGTATTTTTCATTGCCATCTTTTTGCTCGCTTATCAAATACCGCGTGGAATCCGATCAGTTCAATCCGTGCAATCGAGTGATGTAGCATGGATTAATTCCTTTCATTCTGTCGCGAAGGAAATTGATGATTTTCGCCGAAACAAATTTTCCGGATGAGCGTTTCACCACACGCAATCGCATAATTAAGGAATTTGCTACATCGGCGAAATCAACATCACTCCCGTGATTTAACCCGAAACGTCTGAGCACAAAGAGATGCGTGATGGCAGATTATCCTTTATCCGTCTGCTGCAACAATGCGGCACCCCCCGGCAACGCCTATTGTTCGAAGTCAATAAAACACTCCTTTTCGTTCCCTTCAGCGTTGCATTTGAAACAGAATTTTACAGGTTTATTTTTCTTGTCTTCTTTTAAAATCCTCCCCCCGGCATAGCGATCTTCAAACAGCAACTAATGAACTTAGAGTTTTCCTTCGCGTTGCGCGGGATTACTATCGTAATGTAATTTGCAAGGATGGATTTTTATCTCCATCGTGATAACCAATGTATCGGAAATCGATGTAAAATGAAACGAGGGCCACGCGATAATCTCGATACAGAATATCATCTAGGTGGCGGCAAGTGCAAATATAATTTCCAAAAATTTTCAAGCCTATTTTCTTCCGCGAACGTTTTTAAATTCTAATGAAAAATTGATGACGGATAAAAACTAGCGGGTCGCGAAACCAATAACGAAATAGTACGAAAAAGAAGTGTGATTGCAAAGTACTAATGGAAACTGTCCAGAAAATATTGTACTATTCACGAATTGCGCCACTTCCATCTTGAAAATAGTCTTGATTGATTGCAGAAATTTAAGATCGCTCATAATATATTCAATGCTTCGCATTCAGTGCTGCGATGGGGACTCTCGTTCCGTTTCTGTCCAACCAGAATTTCTATTTTCATCTGTATAATTATATCCTTTTACATCTTATCTTCGAAATGGGGTCATCCGCTCATCCATGACCAGCGCAAAAAGAAGTGATACGTTGGAATCAATTCCTACGTGAAAAAAAGAACACTCGAAATGGTGCTGATATCAAAGGTGTATGTAGACACCAAAACTCAAAGGGAATATGCAATGCCAGTTGCAATCATCGTCCGTCGCGGAAATAATTCACAGCTCAAAGATCTTTCTTGTCTGCCATTTTAATTATTATTTCAGCTACGGAGCACAAAGCGTTTATCTATATTAAATTGATCTCTACAAAGTTACAACTTTCGAGAAAGTTTTATCTTTGATGAGAATGTTTAGAGTAGCCTCCCTCTCTCTCTCTCTCTCTGGTTTTATTATAAAATACCACTGCGATATAAATAGTTGGGGTGCTTTGTGCTCTCACTCTTTGAGACAAATAAAAAACAAATTGTTGCACGTTTATTAACATTATAATTGCGACGCGCGTGTTTCCGGAGTTAATCTCTCGATAATTAGGATGTCAACGTTCCGATAATATATGTTCCTCGATTTTATGCATAGTTCAGTGCTTTTCTCGATTTTCTGGCTGTACCCCAACAAACACTTGTTGATTCCGCAAATATCAAGAGGGTTTTCGACATAAGAAACGATCGCTTTTCATTTTGATGCAAACATTCGATGAAAAAGCGAGTAAAAAAAAAAGTGTACACCATACACGTTTCACAATCTTGCGTGTAATATTACGTACAAAAGTACCTTTCAAAAATTAAATCTTTTTTTTCCTTGAAGATATTTTAAGATGTTTAAGTGAACTCTTCCGCACGTCAGCTAAATCTTTCGAATTCGGTTTGCGTTTTCCAAGCTTCTGAAAACGGAACTAACAACGCGAACAACGGGCATGACAATAACTAATTACGTATTTCCTTGCTTGCATGTTGCAGTGCAGCGCCGCCGTCGGGATGAAAGCGTTCTTCGACATGATGCACAACGGGCCGCACAAGGTGATACTCTTCGGTGGTGCTTGCACACAAGTCACGGACCCGATAGCGAAAGCTTCGAAACACTGGCGCCTTACGCAGGTAATGCAATGGTAAAACGTCGTCGTAAATATTCATGACGTATGAAAGAGACTGACCTCCTTCTCTACTCTAACTTGTTTGCATGCACAAACACACAAACACGCACACGTACACGAAGAGGAGAGTACGGAGATGTAAATGAGATTTTTAAGAAAGATTCTTTATGAAAATATATTCCCCCTCCCTTATTGTGTGTTGCAGCTCAGCTACGCGGACACCCATCCTATGTTCACAACCAATAGCTTCCCGAATTTCTTTAGAGTTGTGCCGTCTGAAAACGCTTTGAACGCACCGCGAGTAGCGTTGCTGGTGCATTTCAACTGGACCCGGGTCGGCACGATTTATCAGAACGAGCCCAGATACTCATTGGTAAAGACACTCCGAGATAAGAATAAGTAAAAGGAGAAGCTAAGATTTGAAAAGATTTCCTCCGTAGCTCCGGACGTATTATGGTCTCGTTAAAATCATATCTCTCGCGCGAACGTAATTAGACTGACGACTCATTCGGCCTTTACGCGCACTTTTTCTCTCGCGTTTGTAAGAAATTAAAATGTGTTGGGAAAAATGGAAAACTTTTTGAAATTCTGAAAATTTTCCTGTATTTCTTGCACGTTAAACGCGGAATATAATCGAGAAAATAACTCGAACAGCGGTTCTCAACAGTTGGAAAAGCAATTCTTCGGGAAATGAAAGGGTTAATTAATCCCGCCGCGCGAGCGCGTCGTTCTCTATCTACGTGCGCACGCGGATGGCTGATGTATATGCAAGCGACTGTTTCATTTACATTATAAATGGAGATTTACCGCCGCTGGCAGCTCGTTTGAACAAGCTAAACGCGCGAATGCGTTCACGTTATAGCGCGTGATAAGCATCTCGAATTGGAAACGGCAGGAACACTCAAGCCCGCGCTCCTTCGCGCACGGTTTCCAGGTGCACAATCGACTGGTGGCCGATCTAGATGAGAGCAAGATGGAGGTCGTGGAGACACAGAGCTTCGCTACTGAAGTGACAACGGCCCTCGAGAAGCTCAAGGAGAGGGACGTGAGAATACTCTTGGGAAATTTCAACGAGGCGTGGGCCAGGCAGATATTCTGTGAGGCTTATAAGTTCGGCTTGTACGGCAGAAAGTATCAGTGGATAATCATCGGGACTTACACTAGGGAGTGGTGGCTGCGCCCGGGCGGCGGATGCGCCCCCTCCGAGTTGTCTGAGGCTCTCCACGGTGTCATCCTGACGGATCTGCTTCCGCTAACGACCGAGGAGCAGCACACCACGTCCGGAATCGTAAGCAAACAGCACGGACCTATATTGTTAGTTTTCGATTAAAACCATGCTCCGAGACGAAAATTGAATTCCATTCAACTTGAAAATTATCTGAACTCGTAAGTTAGAATTTCAAAGCTGGGAACGTAAAACTTGAAGCATTCAGACAGTTCTTTTTTTTTCCCCCCTCTTGTGCGAGTATAATTTAACTTTAACCAATTTCAAATCTTTATTACCTAGAAGTATAACGGAATGTTATTTCTTTCGCTATTACATACGACTGGCTGAATATATCGGGGAGCTTTTGAAAGGGGAAAATCGAGTCGGATTGCTGCGAAAAATTTGCAAATGAAGTGCGATATGCGAGGTACGATCCGCGGATTTATGTATCGAAAGCGGATCTGATCGAATATGGGTTCCCCGAAAATTGCGTTTAATCGCGCCCGCAGCGATCGAGTGGCGGCTCAATCGGAAATGCCGTGCACGACGGCGATGTGCCTCTTTGAATTCCCTCATATGCGAGCATAACGCCTGTTGCGTCCCGCTGCAATTGATTCGATGCGTTTTCTCTCCTCTCCCAGACGCCGAACCAGTACCAAACCGAGTATAACTCCAGACGAGGCGCCGAGTACTCCAGGTTTCACGGATACACGTACGACGGTATCTGGACGGTCGCGCTGGCTGTAAAACACGTCGCGCGCAGGATACGACACATCCGTCGTAACCAGACTATATCCGACTTTCGGTATAGGGACGAATTATGGGAGAGGCTCTTCCTCGATGCCCTGAGGAATACAAGCTTCGACGGTGTCACGGTAAGCTGGCCCCCGCCTTGCAATTTCGCGCCGCGACGGCACTCGTTCTCCTTCATGCGCGAAACACAAGGCTACCGAGTGATTTCATTTGACATAAAATCCTTGCCGCCATAAACGGACCGTTGTTGTAGAGGCTGTTTTTCCAACAAGCGTTACAAATTTCAATTTCGATTCCTGAGAAGGCCACGGCGTCGAACAAATATTGATGAAAGTGGGACTTTTATTTATGTTATTTTTTTCGTTAAAATAATCAATCTGATAAACTCTCGACGCTTTCTGCCTGCATTTTGCAGAGGGAGAAGAATTTCAATGAGATTATCATTTCTCGCTTTAGCTCGATAATTTCCGCAGTTCAGAGCAAAATATTTTTCTCTCTGCGGTCGATTGATTCGCACCACTTAAGTTCCAAGTCGCATTGGTATTCGTGTCGAGTATAGTATACATTCACTGTTGCCGCGAAACCGCCTCCGGGAATTGCTAAATGGGAGGAACTGTTTAAAAAAGACGAGGGAGAATCCAAGGAGGAAGACATTTATAAAGAAAAATGAAGATAAAGAAAAAGGGTCTTTACGAGTCTTTCTCTCTTTCTCTGTATCTCTGTTTCTCTCTTTCTCATGAAACGAGCGGCAACCCTCGCTTTCGATCGTCGCACGACAACCCGATGACAGCCAGTGCTTTGTGCTTGTCGTAGACAGAGAGAAAGGGAGAAAGGGAGAAAGAGAGAGAGAGAGAGAGAAAGAGAGAAAACAACGGCTGTAGTCTTCAGTAATCAACATCGTGGCATTCGCATTAGGCGCGCGCGCGCATTGCACTTGACCGTCTTTTCGCACCCGACCGTGTCTCAAGTGCATGCATCATTTCTCTAACCGCGCGGAGCGTACTGGTTAAATTAAAAAAAAAAATTTCCCTTTATTCATATATGCACGCGTAACGCGCAGTATGTACTTTGTAATGCTTTGTAACGCGGTTGAGTACGTTTTAATATTTCTCATATATACACATACATTGCATAACGTTACACGTTATGCAATAGTAAAAAGGGACACGTACGTGTACGTGTAGCAGCAATAACAAAACGGGAGAACGGGACCGGCGGTGAACCGAATTGAAATTAAAACGAAATCAAAAACATGACAAACCACCGGGCGAGTTAGCGGGGCAAATTGGCATGAGCTGATAGCGAATCGGTGAGCGGTGGCTTTTATTTTAAAATCCGATTCACCCGCAATCCCGATCGCCTGTGGTAACTACTCGGTATAATAACGCGAAATAGATGTGCGAGATATATAAAATTTTTCAGGGGCCGGTCCGCTTCTACGATAACGAGAGGAAAGCGTACATCCTCCTAAAACAATTCCAAAGTAAGTTTCACCTCTAGATATGTGTAAACGTTTGAAATGTTTGAATGAAAAAAATATGTACAACCGAAATACACTACATTGAACGAAATTTTCTAGTCGACTAGCTAATTCACGAACTAATCATATGAAAATAATTAATACAATAGAGTTCAAACGAGAAATATGTCATACGCAGAAAATGCATGTTGGAGCTTCGACAAAAAAATTATTCCATCGCACGAAAATATATCGCATAGAATTGATACATAAATATAATAAATATTGGCGAGGCAAAGTTTCTCGCTCGAAATCTTGGAAAACGATGTCACCTCGTCGATGCGGTTGAAACGTGAACTCATTGTTTTTTAGACGGTCACGAGGTAAACGTAGGCGAATACGATAGCATCACCGGCATTCTGGATTTAACCAGAGGCAATGCCTCGCTGTGGGGCGGCAGATCGCCGCCGAAAGACAGAACCGTTCGCATCATCGAGCACTCGACGGTGGACATCACGTTGTACGCGGTGCTAGCCTCGGCCGCTAGCAGCGGTATCGTCTTGGCGTCCATTTTTCTCGCCATCAATATCAGATACAGAAATCAAAGGTGACGGCTCCGCCGTAATATATACCAATTACGCAACACGCGCGCGTAAACACGGATTCTCCATTTGGCTACCAGATTAGTTTTCCCCGAGAGTTAACGAGCGCGGCTCACACGCGAAACTCGATATTGCAGATACATCAAAATGTCATCGCCCCACCTGAACAACCTCATCATCATCGGCTGTATGCTGACCTACAGCAGCGTTATCTTCCTCGGACTAGACTCGCAATTATCGAGCGTGGCGGCGTTCCCGTATATCTGCACGGCTAGAGCGTGGCTGCTGATGGCCGGTTTCTCGTTGGCCTTCGGCTCCATGTTCTCGAAAACGTGGCGCGTGCACTCCATATTCACCGATGTGAAGCTCAATAAGAAGGTAAACTCATTATCTACCGTGTAACGAGAACACATTTGCGCGCGCGCGCATCTTTGTTGCGTTTGTAACGTTAACGGGCTCATTAACCGTGATTCAGGTAATAAAAGATTACCAATTGTTCATGGTGGTCGGGATATTGTTAGCCGTCGATCTCACGATCATGACGACGTGGCAAGTGGCCGATCCATTCTATCGGGCTATCAAACAAATGGAGCCCTATGTGAGTACAAAAAAAAATATAAACGCACATGCACTTTACACTAACGAGACCTCTGCACCGTAATTTATCAAAAATTCTCAAACGCTCGATAATTTGCGAGCTGCTTCTCGATTGCAGCATCACCCTTCCAGCGAGGATATAATCATTATCCCGGAAAACGAGTATTGTCAGAGCAATCAAATGAATATTTATCTGATTTGCATATATTCATACAAGGGCCTTTTAATGGTAAGTCAATGCCTGAATCCCTAAAAATGCCTCGACGAGTAAAATACTGCCTGATAGATACTCACGCTCGACGAGCTTTCAGATATTCGGTGCCTTTTTGGCATGGGAAACGCGGCACGTTAGTATACCGGCATTAAATGACAGTAAATACGTGGGGATGAGCGTCTACAATGTTGTTATAATGTGCGTCACCGGTGCAGCTATAAGCTTTGTGCTGACTGACAAACAGGACGCAATGTTCATAATGTTGGCGGTGTTCATTATATTTTGTAGTACAGCTACTCTTTGTCTGGTTTTTATTCCTAAGGTATGTGCATATATTTCACTACTCTATCAAATTTTCAGTTCTCGGCATTTTACATTCTCATAAAAAATAAGCAAGTACAAAACCTTCTTTTTATTTCAACACTAAAAAATTTCAAATTTTTGCACAAATTATATACAATTTATTATTCCTAAATTGTAAAGTTTCAAAAATTTAGCAATACCAATTATGTAAATATTTGTGTAAAAAAATTTATAATAACGTGAATTATAAAAAATTGAATGTAAAATTCTGAAAAAATTTCGAGAACTAAATTTTTATGTACGTGAATATATTTTTAAGCTTAAGCAGTTTAATTTAATGTTTTTATAAAAGAGCAAAGTATCAAAGTATAGCTTTGAGTGTGCAGTTCGTTAATAAGACGAAAAATCATAATTATTAATATAATTGTTTGCATAGTAATCTATACGTATACAAAATAATCTGCTTTTATGGCGCATATATAACTCTATAATTAGAGCCATTAAGTACTTTAAATTTAAAAAGCGATTTGATCATAATTCACGATGCGCAACAGCAGAGTTGTAGTTCAAACTTTAATTTGCAAAATACAAAAATATTATATTCATAATATGTAGATTATAATAGCATATTAAATAATTAGAAATACTTTTATTAAACTTTTCATTAACTAAGTATTTGATAAAATTATTATGTAATTATGGAAAAAATCTAATTTTTTTAATGACTTTAATGCTTATGCATTTCTGACGCTCTTATTCGTATATTTTGTTATTAATAAATTTATAATTTTATATTTTTAAATATAGCCTGTGTCTTTCGTTAAATCCTTCTATATATCTACCCACGAAAGATGGTCAAAATCGATAAAAATAAGTCTCTTGACTTTTTTAGGTAATAGAATTACGCAGAAATCCACAGGGGGCGATAAATAAACGGACCAGGGCGACTCTGAGACCTATGTTGAAAATACGAAGAGACTCGACAGTCAGTGAACTCGATGACCGCTTAAAGGAAGCGAAACTGGCGAATAAAAAATTCCGGAAGCAATTGTTGCAAAAGGATTCCGAGCTTCAGGTAAGTTTTTCCGTCCATCAAACTTTTAAAACGGTATTACAGTAAATATTACTTCACCAGAGTTACAAAGTTTGGACACGAATGACTATTTTATGTAATTGTAGAATTATCTCTTTCCTTTCCAATTCTGTGACAAATAAGAGATCAATTCTTAATATTTAACATTAAAATTAAATGTTTCACTGAAAATTAAATTTTAAATTAAAAAAAAAAAAATAAAAATTTTTTGTGTAATATGTTTTGCATAACAATTGTCGGCATTAATCTGCATTTATGTTTTGAAATCAATTTTGTCAAAATATTTCTTTAACAAAATGTATGCTATTTAATAAAACATTTGTGCACTCGACTAATTTAAGAAAAATCGAGGGTGGTCTCTTCGATTAAAACATACACACACAGAGAGAGAGAGAGAGAGAGAGAGAGAGAGAGAGAGAAGAGTGAACGACGCACTACCCATCCTTTCAATTCGGTTATAAATAATCACGACATCGTTACTTCGCGTAGTTTATCCTCCGCGTATATAACGATCTACATTTATTATGACGGATATGCTCCCACGCGCATACGCTTTTCCGTTTACGTAAAACGTTGAAAAAAGACCAGAAACACGCCAATTGTTGCACACGCCTGCGCGATGGCCAACAATTATTTTATCATTCCTTTCATACATTACTTCAGGGATTTTTAAGAAGAATGGGTGAAGAGACTGAGATCGAAACACAAGAGACGATCGACACGCTGCCGGTTCCAAAGCAGGAAGAGACCGTTAAAAAAGAAGGTAAATATTCTGTTTAATTTATTTTTATCTAACAGCAACATGTTTAATATCTCTATTCTCATTCGTAAATTTAAAATAAATTTTTATCAGGTTGGAGTAAAAAAAAATCATCTTTTTTTTGTCAAACTTGAACAAAATAAAAATTGCGCGATTTAAAAATATTGTTGATTAATTAAACTGATCACATCACTTAGTTGATGTCAATACATTTTTCAATCTAAAAACAATCGTTCAAATTCGTTTTTAAACAAATTTCGGACTTTTAATCTGTTTTGAAATAAAATTTAATAGAAAAACAATATTCTCTTTGCGCTAATTTAATATAAGTTAAAAATAAACGATTAAATCACGGTATCAATAATTTCGGTTTATCTGTTTGACAGGACCATCGATAACCACAGAGACGACTGATGTTTCAATGTCTATGTACAGCTTGAATTCATCGACCGTTTCGCAACCGGAGGGTGATTATGTAAACGTGGATCAAGTAGCAAAGTATGTAGCCGTTTGATATTATCCTTCATCCACAAACTTCCTCCTTTAACAGAATGTAGCTAAATCAAAGTAGCTGCACACTGCGCGTGTAGAAAACAAACGAGAATGAATAACTATTCAGTGATTGAAAATTCAATTCTAAGAATGATGTAAAAGAAAAAAAGAAAAATATAGTTCGCAAATACGTTCTATCCCGCTGACATCGTGCCAAAAGTCCCCGGTGCATCTGACCCACCGTCCATCCTCAAAGTAGTTGCGTGGTGCTTGTTTTAGGAAGAGGGGATCCATCTCGAAAGCCACCTTCGACAACGAACGAATGGCTGTGATGGCTCAGGCGATCGAAGAGAGCACTTCTCCGGTGGACACGCCATCGTCACCGTTGCTGTCGCGAACGTCCACGGGTACGACGACGACGATGACAACGATGATGATGGCGGTAACAACTACGGCGACGACAACGACGACGACGACGACGATGACGACGACGACGACGATGACGACGACGACGACGACGCCGATGACGACGACAACGATGATGACGACGACGACGGCGGCGGCGAAGTATCACACGTGCGGCATGGAAGTATCGCGGCGCAAGAGCGGTGCCGGCGAGGCCGGCAAGGAGGGCGAGCCGTTGCTGATGCGCAATAGGGGTTCGATGCCGTTGCCGAACGACGCTGTGACGACGCGCTACGATTTTGTGCCGCCCGTCGTCGAGGAGGGTGATTCCGTGATCCTGGAGGAGACCGAGATCGCGAGACACGTCTGTCACGTGAGGAGGCGGAGTAAGGACGAACGCAGGGCGAAGCTGTCGACACCGCCGCCGACGAAGAACGTCTCCTTCGGCGAGCTCCACGAGCAGAGCTACATCGAGCAAGTGATCATGCCGTTTCCGTTGCAGTACGTGCCAAATCATCGGCATAACGGTGAGAATTGAATTTTTTTTTCCCCCGTTTCGCAATTGGCAATTCATAAGGCGTGAAAAATTGAAATTTTAAAAGCAGTTTCTATACCAGATCGCTGCACGCGAAATACTGAATTTTGAGAGTATCAATTTTCAAATGGAAACGGTGAAAGCAAACATGCCCTCTCTTGTCGATATTACGCGCGGCCGCGAGACGATACTTTGAACGTTCTGTTGACAGAGAAATACGAGGAGTCTATGTCGACGATCATCCAGCGTTCTATGTCGGAGCGCTCGCGGGAGAAGTGCCTGCGGCTGCACATCGGCGGCGGTCACCCCATTGTCGAATGCTCGCACCGTGTCGCACGTCGTATGTGCCGGCACGCGGGCTCGAAACTGCGCCACCAGGCGCGGTTGGAGTACGTGCAGAGTACGCCGAACGTGGCGACGATGCACAACGGCAAGCACGCGGTGGCGAATCCGCGTGGCGGAACCGGCGACGTGAACGGTAGTGCTGCTATCAGTATGCGGAAATACACCGAAATCGATTGCGGATATCTCAATTTCCTTCTCATACATATCTTGCACTCTAAGAAAAGATCGCGGGAGTATCGCGGAAATATTCCGCTGCTTGTTTCACTTGGGTGTCTTTATCGACTGTCACGAAACTCGACAAGTCTCTTGCATTTGGTATTTTTAATTGCAGGTGGTTCCGCGGTGAACGTCTCGAAGATGTACAGTGCCGTATCGGACGGTGAACTGCTGGATCTCACGATCCTGCCAATTTTTCAGAAGCTCCTCACCGAGCGGCACAAGAGCACTGCCAGGCGGGGCTATCGCTCGAATATAGCTAGTTGCCCGAATATATCCATCAAATGCGATATCGTCGAATATCTCTAACGGCCAGCCAACGATCTGATTCTCCTCATCGCATTGACACGCGCATCGCGAACTTGCGTTTCTCGTCACGGACTCACAATCGGTAGGTGCGTTAAATCGATTGTTTCAGTTAATTAGTTGATCGCGCGTTCGCAAGAAACGTCTTTTGCGGATCGTTAAGCATCTCGAGCGAGCGGCCGGGGAGTTTTTATCGTTATCCGCAATAATTCATCGTTAAATTGAACATATTGGGACATTTTGACATTCCGTTGATTCATTTGTAAGATTAATGATGAGCTAAAACCGTTATCGCTGCCGGGTTAGTTAATGCATTATTCGTTCCGTCTCGCGCGTCCTCGCTTTTCGTATGTCTTTTCGTACGGTTTTTCGTACGGCACTCTTGATATCACAATAAAGCGTATATAAAAAAACGAGAATAAAAAAAAAATTGATAATACAACACTCTAGTAACAATACCTAATGCTCGAATCGCTCTCGTCGATATGCGAGACAAGCAACAGCCGACGAATAAAGGTAAGATTTTTTCTATAGCACACGGAATATTTTCTAATGACGACGACTCTTTAAGCGTAAGAATACAAAACAGAGAAGATGAATTCGAAAGTTCAAGTGAATTCTCTCGTGTGAGTACGAAAACTCAATATCACCGAAATTTCAAATTTCTCTGTTCATCTCACTTGTCGTTGTTTGGTTCTAGACGTAAAGCGAACTAAATATACGGATTTGCGCGCGGTACTATCGAGCACACTTATGTTAGTTACTTGAACGTCAGTCAATAGATCTTGTATCTCATTAGTGACGCAGCATATTACGCGATATATAACAAACACTGCGAGGAAGTAAACAGGAATAAACTTCGTATATATCCGTGATATAACATACATTTTCGGGGATGAAGTCGGGAAGGAGGAGAGGAAATGGGAGTTGTCTATGTAATCGATATAGCGAATCGGAGAGAAGAAGGTGGGGATGGAGACCCTAGCAGCGAACAAATATTGTTTAAATATTTCTTAGTACGATCGAAGAATATTTTTGTGACACGACTTTAAGACATTAAACTAGTTCTAGAGATAATGCGGTATTAATTAATGAATATACCTTCGAAATATTTACAAGACAAAGTTACAAGAAAGAAAAAAAAAAATAAATAAATAATAAAGATATTTGTTAGCCGCGGCAAATCAGAAAGTAGATTTAACTGTTGACTGTTATAGCTATTTCCACCTTGTAAAGGAGAGTTTTCATAACGAACGCTTCCGAGGAAAAAAAAAATATGAAGCGGTCGCCATCGGCTAACAAGTGTTTTTCATAGAGAGAACATACATATATCTATAAGAAACGTTGTTGTTAAGGCAAGGATATCGAGAACATGTGTTAATTAGGAACATGTCCGTTCTCTTCTTCGGGCGCCCGTTTTTACGTGGATCGCCAAATCTCAGGCCGGAAGACGGCAGAAAAAGCCGGTACTTTACAAATACTAAGAGTAAGTTTTCCCTCGCGTACATTTCTAAAATGAATAACTATGTGTTTGTAAATATATGTTACAAAGTAATATAGTCATTGAATATTTCCTACAACACCTAACTCGGCGTATTTAGCCAATTCTAGGAGATATGTAATTATGTTTACCAGATATATTTCGTTCTCCGCTAGGGTGCTGTGTTCAAGATACCTCGGGAAGTGCGGCGGAGCGTATTTATAAATGCCTTCGGATATATCTCTAGAACTGATAATTATCGAATCGAATCGAATCAATGCATGCATTGTCAATTGCCCATATCCTTTCGTTCACTAGAAAGTATATATAAACAACAAGTTGCGACACAGATGAATTCGCGACGAGGGAATCATCGCGCGGAATTGAATAGGAAATCTTTTTTGGTCCTGAAACGGGGTCAGATCGCATCAGCGGACATAAATGCGTGGTTGAGAGATAAAATGGATATCATTTTTCCGCGGAGTGAAATTTTGTTATTCCAACTTTTAAGTGGAGTTATTAAAAGTAAAGCCTTAAGCATTTCTGTAAGAGATTCCTAAGTTTCCTAAGTTGTGCGATTTCAGAAGTAAAACAAAACGGCTCATCCAACATTACTTATGACGTGTATTCATGACCAAAGTTAAAGAAGTCTAAGAAGAAAAAGATAAAAAGAAAAAGATGAAATCCCTTTTTATTTTTTCAACGTGTCTCGCGCAGTTACTTTTTCTCGTGTAACAGTATCCCGTTTTACAAAGACGGAAGTTTGTCGTGCCATTCGCGATTAAATTTAGAGATACAACGATTTCAAGTTTTGTCAAGGGCAACATTGCGAGTTTTCAACAGCGTGTCTTGCGTCGTTTAAAATTTTTAGCGCAAGCTAAAGAGAAAAAAAAAAAGAATGATGCAATAAATGATGCTCAGCGGTGTTCTTGGTGCAATATTCAGATCTTAAGGACAAATCATTTGTGGTTACCGGTCGGTATGCATGATAAAACATTCGATGCGTTTGTACTCGTATTCCTACTGTTAGAGCATGACTTATCCCGTAATAATTATATAAGCCAGTTGTGTCGTTAGTAGGCGAACCAAAGCCAAAAGTTTTTTACAAATTGCCGCGGGAGAAAAGAAGAAAATTCGACAGCAATATATATGCGACTGTGTATGCGTGCATGCAGCGAAACCGAAGATGGTTCAAGCGAGTGTGACAATGACAAAGCGCTCTTTCTTCAGAATACATATATCACTGTGACATACAGATGTATCTTTGTAAAAAATAGGCGAATTAAAAGTGATCCATTATAATTCCTTCTATTCAGTTCGACTGCTGATCTTTGGAACTGTCATTTATATCGAAACTTTATGGTTTTCTTTCTATTTATTTTTTTGTAAGCAGAAAATTTATATCGTTTCTCTTGGTAAAATAAATGCGATAATTGCATTTTTAACAAGAATGAGAGGACAATTATACAGATTAAGAATCCAATTTCAGTGAATTTCTATTCCTGCCGATTTCTTTTAATTCAAGTATTTTTTGCAGAAATATTTTGAAAGATTTTATTATCAGCAAGTGTTAATAAAGTAACTGATTTATGGGGGATTAACATTTTATCGTTGTATATCGATTTTTATACGTTACTACTATTTATACAGCTATTTGTACGAATGTTTTTGCAAAAGACAATGCATGTATCGTCAATTATTATACGTTCAAAGTATCCATCATACCTTTATTTTAAAGGAAATCTGCAAAAAATAAGTAAATTTAAAGGTATTGGTGGAAATTCATTTTGTGAGAATAAAACTGAGAGGACATAATATTTCACAGAATGCATTCCCGTTCTTTTAACTTGCCTATTTTTTGCAGTAAAAGTATAAAGTAGTTTACGAGTGCACTTACGAAACGTAATGTGAGAGATCAATAGCATGCCGGATAAGAATAGGATTCCTACCAGTTACGGGCACGTGTGATATCTTATTATCTAAAGTCGAGATAATTGCTGCGCAAGGCGATCTTAATGTTCACCGCTGTCTACTCTCAATAAAGTGGCTGTCATTCAATGAGTACTTTGAGTTTTACATTATTAGCAACTTGAGCCTTCAAAGAACGATCCTATTCAATCATCACGATAACTTATGACACAAAAGACGAATAAATATCGCACTGATTTGCGCTAACAATCCTTACAAATTAATTTATTATTACAGAACTACTAAATCTGATTTCTTTTTTAATCAGACATTCGTGAAAAAATTAATGCAAAAGGTAAAACAATTTTCTCTCTTGAAAATCTTATGTTTGATGTCATGAGAAAGATGCTCTTTATGCATTTTTATATTATTACAAAGTGCAGTGTGTGATTCTATTCAATGCCTTCAAAATTGAAAGGTTGAGAATCAGGAGAATAGTTTATCGATTACCAAATCGCTTGTTCTGTAAACCACTCGAATGTGGTCACGCGAGAACGAACCAATGTTAATGGAAAACGAAGCCAAGTTGGCTTCGCTTTTATATATGTATAAAGAGCACAGGCGGAGAAATTCAGATAATATATTTTGAATCACATTTTTATCATATTTCCGAATAAATTAAATGTCACATCAGTAATCAACATATTGTTTTTCCGTCAACAAGGCTTGCAGCAAATACTTTGTAAAAACTACTTTCGACACGCTGTAGTGCGATATAATATTGTCAAGAGAAGTACGAGAATCATATGCAATAGATGCAAATTGTGTACATTAATAAAAATAGAGAAAACCCACGTAAACCCGATCTTCTCTCTGACTTGAGCTTTTGCGACGAGAAATGTGTTCACAATTCTTTTAAGAAGAAATACTATCACGGAAAATGCATAATACATGCAATATTTATTTACATAAAAGAATTTACATACATAAAAGAAATTATTTGATCCGATTATAACTACATCGCAATATTGCTGAAAAAAGTGGATATTTTTTCACATAAATATTCTGTTAATGATTAATTATATATAAAAAATTGGAGAATATGCTTTTGTTATGCGTGCAAATAGCTTTGCAGTAGTTTATTAATTATTATTCAGTTTTTCCAAACTCAAACAGAAAATGTGTTTTTAAAATTCCTTTTTGCTGTCCCGTTCCGATAATAACTGAATTTTAAATATTAGAAAAACTAGTTAGAAGGACACGTATTCGTGATACAAGGTATTTGCTATACAAGCTTTTGACTTTAAAAAACTCATTACAAACAAATTTAAAACAATACAGATTACAATAAAGATCCCAGTGAACGAGAAGTTATTGAAAGTTCAGAAATAGGATTGAAAATTATTGAGAAGAATTAAATAGAATTCAGCATCATCGTAAATGAATTCTTCTCAGTAAATTTTCAATTCCATTTCTGAACTTTCAATAATTTCTCGTTTACTGGGATATGGTATTAATAATTGGTACTCACTGATGTATGAAATGCAGCAACAGAATCGTGAAGTTGTCCTGCAAAATTAAAATATATATTTTTTTTCATTTTTTTATCATTTCATTATACATTTAATTTATTCAGAATTACGTATAGCCGAGATAGTGGTTGCAAATATAACATATTCCGCAAAAAAGCAAATAATAAATGAATAATATATTACTTCATGGTGGCTCAGCCGTTATTTGATGCCGGCCCCCCTCCAACCCCACCGGCGAACCACCTCCTTCTCTTTTGCTCTATCTATTTTGCGGCTGTTCTTCAAAGCACTCGTGGAAACACAGAAGATACATACACTAATTAGAATAATCGCGTGACGCTTTTTATGACACTTACGACATTAAATACGCGTGTTCTCAACGCGTAATTTTATCATAACAATCGCATAACACATTGCACGATACTTTCGATGCGGACTTTTATCATATCATGGCGATCGCGCGACACTTTGTACTCCCGACTCCCGACACGGGCTTTTTATATCATTATATCGATCGCGCGATACGTCTCTACGGCATTCCCGACGTTAATATGAACACGCGTTTCGGCACATCACAACAAAGGAAAATAACGGATGTACGGATGAAGTTTTATTTTATCGCCGAATCGTTTGACAACTTTGCACACCATCCAGCAAATAGCGCTGAAGTGCGCGCCAAAATGTGGATGGTATGGACAGCAGACATCATCTAGCGGTGATGCTAGGACATCGCGTAGCCAAAATGTAGTAATATTATTGCTAAAGCCAGCAGCAGACTATGCAATTTTTTATGTAATTATTTTTTAAGCTTATTGCGGCTACTTAATTGCCGCAACTTACTATTTGCAGCAATTATTTTTGTGACTTCTTACTATCAACTAAAATGACAAATTTCTAACAAATTTTAAATATAAACTAAACTATTGCCAACGACAGAATAAAATACCACGATTATGTTGGTATGATTTTAAAATGTCATCTAGGAACAGTGTGCGACATTATTAGCAGTCGGTATAATATTTAGGTGACATAACCTCCAACTTTTGTTTATGTACTGTCGATTTAATTAAAATATTTTATATTATTTCATTACCTCTTCAAGAGCGACGTAATCATGTCGAATCTTGTAGAGAAACGCGCTGATATAAAGAAAAATATAAGAGAACAGATGGAAATGCTCGATAAATCGGTATGATATTTATAGATATAAGTATAAATATGCAATTTTTATATATTTATAGTATTGCATGTTTTATATATGTACATTAATATTTTCTGTTTATAGGAATTAATTGATAAAGTATTACAACTTGAAACTCGTAACAAACAACTCCAAGCAGTAATTGCAAAATCTACCAGTTCTGAGTGGAAGAAAAAAAAGACGTCTGAGAGAGTAGGAAAGCCATTTGATTTCTCGCGGTAAGTGTGCTGCTGCTTTTCAATTCACATTACATTTTTTATTTGAGTAACATTCTGTAATTTCAATTACAGCTGCCACAAGAGACATATTTTTTTGAAGTTATATTATCTTGGTTGGGAATATCATGGGTTTACCGTTCAGGAACATAACAGTGACACTATTGAGCATCATTTATTTGCAGCTCTGTTAAAAAGTTGCTGTATTGAATCTCGTGAGACTTCAAATTACCATCGATGTGGACGAACTGATAAAGGTGTTAGTTCCTTCTCTCAAGTAATTTCATTGGATATACGCAGTAGATTGGAGCCAGAAAATCAAGATAACTTGTCGGAAGAGTTATCGTATTGTAAAATATTGAACAGATTACTTCCAACAAATATAAGATGTATAGCGTGGTATCCAGTCTCAATCAACTTCTCTGCAAGATTTGATTGCAAATATAGGAAGTACAAATATTTTTTCCCGAAGGGTAACTTAAATATAGATGCCATGAACAAAGCTGTTAAATATATCATAGGGAATCATGACTTTCGTAATATTTGTAAAATGGATGTAGCTAATGGAGTCACTAACTTTAAGAGAACTGTAATGGATGCAAGAGTTTTTATAAGTGACCAAACCATGGAAAAGCCCACAGGTATTTTTTATTTTGTTTATGTGCTTATCTGTTATTGATGCAACATGCAATTAATTTTTATATTTTAAAGGTTACAATATGTGTGAATTAGAAATCACAAGTCAAGCCTTTCTCTGGCATCAAATTCGTTGCTTAATGGGCATCTTGTTGCTAATTGGACAAAAAAAAGAGGATCCTGAAATAATTTTGAAGCTTCTGAACATTGAAACTTGTCCACAGAAACCACAGTACAATATGGCTCATGAAGTTCCATTGAATCTTTGGTATTGTGATTATGAAGATGTAGAATGGATTGTTGATGAAAATGAGCTAATAAATATTATCAAGATATTACAACAGGATTGGACTCTGAGTGCTATAAAGTAAGTTTATTTTGGAAAAAAAAATTTTGATATTGTATATAATTTTATAACCAATTTGCGTTTTTCATTATATGCAGATCTACAATGATTAGAAATATGTTAACGGAATTGGAAAATTTGGTTAAATGTACAAATACTAATTTTCAAAGTGACTGTTTACTTCTTGGTGTGCAATCAAAAATATATCAACCATTGATGAAACGAGAAATGTGTGGTGAGTATGCAAATTTTATCAAAACTAGTGAACATAAATTTATTAACAGACTTAATTTTTAACTCTTTTTAGTTCTTTTAAGCTCTTTTTAAATTAAAAATCTTTAATTAAAAAAGTGTTTATTTTATTACTTATTTATAATGAAATCTATGTGTATAAACTTTGAAACAATATGCATACAAGTACATTGTTGATATTGCTGTATTTCTTTATATAATACAGACATTTAAAATATTTTGATGATCAGAGAGATATATACGTTTACTATTACATACTATTTTTTTTTTTGCTATACTAAACACAGTATCGTCGCGTTTGGACACATTTTACGCTTAAAATTACAATTTTTTAAATATACAATCTATCAATAGTACAATCTAGCAGATTTATTAAGCCTGTCCAAGTCTTGGTTTGCAAGCTAAACTTTTCCTTTTATTTCAATGAAAATGAGACTTGAAAAAGGAATAAAGGAAGGCAGACCAAGGTAGTTTTCCACCAAGAGACACAAGCGACACAAAAGTATTCTCTCTGTTGTTCATTGAATATCGAAAAAAGACAGAGTGATACTTGTGTCAATTTGTGTCAACTTGTCCTTTGCTGGAAAACAACCCAAGATAGTCAACATAGACACATGTTTATTGTGAAGTGGTGTAAATAGTTAATTTTCATTAAAAGTTAAAACTATACAAATTTAGGACAAAGGAATAAAAGGATAAGCTTAATGAACTTGAACAGGCTTACATTAAGTTGTTCATTTAGTATAAACTGATAATTTCATTACATTTATCTATGTATATAATCTATACTTTCTATTTTCTTTTACAGAAAGTCTGGAAAATAAAATCAAACATTATGAGAAGAAACGAAAATTGGAGATTATATATTCTGATGTTACATAGCATAAGCCTATGTGCTAATCATACAAGACTTGTAATATGTATAACAAATACCATCATTTTTAAATACATACATTTCTTATTGTATGTAAATATTACATACCAATCTCAAATTTTCAATATAGGTGAGTTTCGCTCAGCCTTATTGTTCGTCAAATTTTTAATATCGATAAAAAACCTTATTTCATGAAATTTTTCTCAAAAGCATTTAATTTTATGGAAATACGGCTACGAACGAACGTTGTATGTCTATCAATAGGCCTGTAATGACACACATGGCAAGCAAGATTTTTACAAATTTTAATTTAAAAATTTCTCTAGATAGATGGGCATTATACGCGACAAGTTTTGTGACACAATTTGATATTTCTGAGCTAAATTAATAGTTAAATTGCAAATATAAGATTATTTTATGTAATCTTAAAAAAGTACAACAGCATTTTACTCTAAATATTCAAGTTTTTACGATATTTATTTACAGAGGATAAAAAGCTAATAAATCTAGCTTGGGCATTTAAATGTAATGAACGTTGTCCCTGCTGCTCGATACACTTTAAGCATGATAATGTCAAACAATAAAAGACACATTGTTGCAAAAAAATGAGTGCAATGTATAATTTAAAAAGAAAATGACTAATTAATGCTTTTCGTTTATTTCTTTTCACTTCTATCACAGGACGGCACGCATTTGAAACGAGGGTCAAAATTGCTTTCTTCTTCTGATGAATGCTCCTCATTATTTTTAGCCTCGCCATCTTCATCTTCGTCTTCTTCTAATTCATCTTGTTCTAAGAGTCGTCTTGCCATTTGTACAGCATGCCATTCTCGATAGTGGCCTTTTCTCTTTGCTTCAAAAACTCGTCTCCTTTCTAAAATAAAATGCATTGACGGCCAAGATCTTTATACCTAATAAATCTCATCTTACCTCTTTCTTCAGGAGTTTCTTCATCTTCCTCTTCCTCACTGGATTCTTCGAAAATTTTTGGTTGACTACTCCCAGCTAATCTAATTTGTAAGAAAACAATTAATAATATATAATCATAACATATTAATACATAAATATATTTTATATTAATAATTAAAATTGTGTGATACATAATCACTATATTTATTTACTTTGCTGCAATAGTGGTGGCGTCTAATTGATCAAGTTCATGTTCATTTTCGAGGCCTTCAAAATTGTATGGGGTTTTTGGTTCCTCGATTTTCATATGACCATAATCCTTGTCAGCAGGATGAAGAGTGGCGATAATATTCATTTCATCCCATGTTGTTTCTTTGCTTGGTCTATAGGTCAGTTAATAATAATCATTAATATTTATAGGTCAGTTAATAATGATAGGTTAAAAAAATCTAATAATATTTATTATTGTGTCCAAAAATTGGATCTGTATCAAATAATGTTGGCTGATATTAATTAATAACTTGCAAATATTCAATATTTTCTTTCTTATGCGATTTTTTCTTAACCTTTGAACAGTAATTCTATAAATATCTCATATATTATCTCTAAAAGGATAAGTTTCTGAAAACATAAAAAATCTCAAGTCTAAACAAATGTTTTTAATTTTCCATCAAATATATGATGTTTCTATTAGAAATCAAATCGAATGGATATGGAAAAATAATTTCAATAATTATTTTTCTATTTTATCTATTGTTATAGCACGTATTATATCATAAATATATAAATTTACGAATATCACGTTATCCTCGTAAATATTGAACGATTGTACACGCGTGCCGGGTTATACAAGATATTTTTGATATTGATAGATCTGAACGACGAGATCTACACATCTCTATTTTTACACGACGGAATTCAATTAACGCTCTCTCACCTAGGCGCCTCCGGATTATCAAAACTGCTGGATGTCTTTAGAATTCCTTTGGAAGGCCGTTTCGACAAATTTTCTGCCATTATAATCAAGCGTTATGATGATGGTCACTCACGATATTGCCACGGTTGCATGTTTACTAACGAATTTCGCTCCGGCTGGCTCCAGCTGAATAACCTGCACTGGGTGTCAATCACTCAGAAAACATTTTTCACGCGCCCATCAGCATCAGAAGCGATCTCTACAAGTCTAATTCGCGGGATAGTCGTTCAGAGCCGTAACAATTCCAACTAGCTCCCTTAATTTTTCAATATATTCACGTTCCAATAACTTAATCTTATGCAAGATTCATACCGTATCTGTCATCTGATATCTAATATCCGACATTTAAAATTAGAAAATTTATTTTCCAGAGATAAAAATGTTATTATTGATAAAGAAAATGCTCCGTGATTGGTAGAATTACTTATATAAAGACGGAGAATTTATTTTTTGATGGTTGGTAAAACCAAATCTGTAACTTTGCAATTTTGCCGCAAGAGGCGACGAAGTTCCTTCAGAGTTTCTCTTCGTGACATTTCATATTCACAGATTCGATTCTTAAAACAACAAAAAAGAAATATGATGGTTACGAATTGCAGTATTTGTGATACTGAATATGGTCTTTTACCGGGAATTAGTTTTCATAGGTATAAATATGTATAATTTATTTTTAATCCTAGAACTATTATTACAGAAACTAATCGCTAAATCTATTAACATGAAAGTTTATTATTATTACAATAATTTTAAGTTTTGCGTGTTTATTTACAGTGACACAAAACATATAGAAGTCTTATTGTATAGTATACACATTAATATAATAATTAAATAAATATAGACCACCTATCTACACATATAAAACTCTATTTTATATAATTTTAAGGCTTCCAAAAGTTGAGAGCAGAAGAGAACGTTGGATCACAGCAATTAAAAAAAGAATAACAAACTTTACTCCTGCTGCAAATGTATTTATATGTAGCCAGCATTTTTCGGAAGACTGCTTTCTGCCATCACCTACTGGCAAGCGTTACTTAGTGCCTAATGCTGTACCCAGTATATTTGATATGCGATTAAGAAAGAAATATAAAATCCAATTTGTAGGTATAATTTTTGTTTTAATATAATATAAATATGTGAATAACAACTTTACAAGAAATTTTTACAAGAATTACATTGTGTAATGATATAAATGACAAATATTAATTATATTATTTTTGTTTTGTTGTGTAAGGATCAGCAACAATTATCTATAGAAAGCCATGATGCTATTGCCAGTAATACGAAATTAAGAGGTTTAGAGATTGCTACAAATATTGATCAGAGTACAGATAATTTGCACAAACCATATGTTTCCATTCTTAAAGTGCAGCATTTGACTAAATCTGAAATTGTAAACAGGTAACACAAAATTAGAATTATGTAATGAAAAGTATCTATTACATATAAATATGAATATTTGTTATTTAGTACTAATTTGGATAAATCAGCCAATGACGAAGAAGCAAGGAAAAGTCAAGAACAGCTGCACAAAGAAAAATGTGATGTTATTACAAATATTGATCATGAAAAATTGAATTCTGAAATAGCAACAAATATTGATGAAAATCAAGATAATTTAGACCAACCATGTACTTCGACTTTCAAACAACAGCATCTGACACAGTTCGATATTTTGCACAGGTAAAATAACAAAACAACAAGAATTCCAACATAATGAAGTATTTATTGCTTATATAGGAGTCTATATTTGTGTTACATAATAGAAATATTGGGATCACATCAAGTGACAAAAAAGTAAATAATGAAGCAAAAGAATTAATACGTGCAAACACATATATTAAAAAATTGACGAAGAAGTTAAATGCTTCTCAACAGAAATATAAAAGATTACAAGAACAAGCCACATCTTTAGCTTTTCTTGTAAGACAGTTGCAAGGTGAAAAAAATACTACAGAGTCATTGGAGGTAATGAATATTACAGAATAAATTTACTAAAATTCATTATATATATACATTAAGACCAAATGGTTATTAAAAAATTATTTCTATTTTAATTAATTTTTTTACTGATAGTTTTTATTTTATGCAGAAGTTTAATATAATTTATATTGAATAAACAGGAAGACTGTTCAGATGTATAATATCAGATCTCCCAAATTCTCAGCGTTATGCCCCACACACCATACAGATGTATACTCAAACAATAATTAAATTTAATCAAGCAGATTAACAAATCAATAATAGACTAATTGACTAGGTGAGAAATATTGAGAAAAAGAATGACAAAATGAGAAATAAAAGTGAATAAAATGTGAATCATCTCTTCTTGTCACGTATGTAAAAGTTTCTAATTACTATTTCTCATGATTAATACTAATATTATATGACTAATAATATTTTTGTGTACAGCTATTGTTAATTTTTATCAGTAAAATAAAAATTATGTATAATTCTACATAATTCTTGTGATTATTATGCATGCTTTTTGTGATAACAGTTTGTTACCTAAATATTACAATATCCTTTGACTTGGTTTATTATTTTCATTTACTTTTAATCATTTTTTCTAAAAAATTGCTCTTAATAGCTTCTATATGATTTTATTGATTAATAATATAATGTGATTCAGTATTTTGGTTGAAGGTGTATTATATCTAAAATACGAATCCACAGTAGTTTGCTTCTATTCCGAGAAGCGTCTCTATTGTTTCTTTTGTATACTTTTAAGCCCGTATCAAAGTATGCATTAAAAATTGAGAGAGTAGAATCAAATTCCACCTTGCAATACGAACTTAAAGTTTAGTGAGGTAGAAAAGTAGGATGTGCGTCTAGATTCATCGAATAATTCATTTGGCGTTATCACGTTTTGTCCATGTGTTCCTGTTTTAAAATGTATTTAATTTGATTTTTAATCTTAATCCCAGAATATCACATTACTACACTAGTACCTGGTGAGGATTAACGTTGTGAATTTATAGAATACAACGTACAGTTTTACATCGGAACATATAATGACAATTGGAGTTTTCAGTCAAGTATTAAGAAGCACACGTTTCATCAAATTTTCTAACCTTCTTCTGTGGAAGAAAACATATACACTCGGCTTTCCACTCAGAACGATGTCGGGAAAATCGATTATGAAAATCGGTACGCACGATGGTACTTTCCACTGCGATGAGGTGCTCGCCTGTGCGTTCTTAAAATTGCTGCCGCAATATAAAGATGCTTCTATAGTGAGGTAATTCTCTTGAATTTTAAATTATAAAATTGAAAGAGATTTGAAACATTAACATTAAAAGATAAAATGTGGTGGAAGTAAAACTAGTAGAAAATATTGAATTACAGAATCCATGGATATCGCATTACATTTTTAGATCTCGAGATCAGAATATCTTAGACACCTGTGATATTGTAGTGGACGTTGGTGGAGAATATGATCCATCCAGGCATCGATATGACCATCATATGAGGTAAGATTATTATTTTGCAATAAAATACTTATTTTCAGTGCGTTACCGTCTCTTTTTTTTGTATCAGACATTTTCAAGAATCAGTAAGTAGCATTATGAAAAAACCAGGATATGATTGGACAATAAAATTGAGTAGTGCAGGCCTGGTGTACTGTCATTTCGGACATGAAATATTGAGAAGTGTACTTCCAGAGGTAACAGACGACAGAGTCATTGAAGAAATCTTCAAAAAGGTCTACGACACCTTAATCAAGGAAATTGATGCCATAGACAATGGCGTGCCAATGTATGATGGAGAACCATTGTAAGTATGCATTTATAACGCTGATGTGTTACAGTAGGTTTCTTGAACTAACGCTTCTCTATTCGTTTCAGATATCGAATAGTTACTGATTTAAGTGCACGTGTAAGCAGACTAAACCCTCAATGGAATAATCAAGATGTGAATATCGATGAACGATTTGAGAAAGCTATGGCTCTGACTTTAGAGGAATTCTTAGAATTTGTGCAGTACGCGAAAAAAGTTTGGCTGCCAGCAAGAGATGTTGTCCGACGCGCCGTGGAGAATCGATATGAGGTAAAAAACAGTTTCATTCATTTTTTATTTTAGATATTTTTAAAATTATTGTTTCAATATAGTATATGTATATTTTTGTAAGGTTGATCCGAGTGGAGAAATAATAATGTTGTCGCAAACGGTACCATGGAAAGAGCATTTATTTCAATTGGAAGAGGAAATGAATGTTTCGCCGTCAATAAAATACGCCATTTTTGAGAGCGACGACTCTTATCGAATTCAATGTATGCCGGTGGCGGCGGGAAGTTTCGTGTGCAGGATGTTCCTACCGGAAGTTTGGGGTGGTTTGCGCTCTGACGCACTTGTAGAAGCCTGCGGAATCGAAGGCGCCGTATTTGTACACTCTGTTCGATTTATCGGTGGAAACAAAACAAAAGACGGCGCATTGGCTATGGCGCGGAAAGCGCTTGAAATCGGAAAGGCTGTAGAATGTGTAGATTGACAATGATACGCAAGACATGTCTAGATTGCTAATTTTTTTCAGAGAACTGTATCGCATGATTATTATAAGACAAATTAAAAAAAAAAATAACGTTTTTAAAACGTTGCGCTCTTTTCTATATATTTTCGTGTATTCGAATACACTGATCGTATTTTATACTGGAATTACAACATAGGAAAAGAATTTTTGGTTTGTCATACATCAGGTATTTATGAGCATAATTTAATTAAGGTCAAATTGCGTAATACACTTTTACAGATATTAAAATGGCTCATTTATTGTCAACAATTTCCTCATATCAGATCCATATGAAACATAGCACGAATGTCCTCCGCATGTTCTTCTCCGATTGAGACAGCCCCGGACAGAGTTAGACTTGATCAACACGTGTATATCGGTTTCCAATAGTTGATTAACTCGTCAATTAGCGTTTCGGGCGGCCGCCTGAGCGTGTGCGGCCAAATGTGCGGCCTTAGCCTGTGCCACTTCAGGGGTGTCTATTACTGTGCCGTCGGGTCCAAGTGGAGCGTTGCCGTAAGCGTAGAGCGCGGGTGCATACGCTAGAGCGCCGTATGGTATCAATTTGACTGTCTTGGCAGCTTCCTACGTGGAATAAATACCAATTAAATTGCCGGCAATTAAACTGTTACAGCAAAAAAAAAAAAAAAAAAGAGTTAAGAATTGGACTCGAGAAAAAACACAGTACTTAAATATAAAAAAAGATTCCAATTTTTGACGATAAATGAAGCGTCAAATAGAATGACAAGTCATTTCTGCAAGCTGTGTTTCTACCAGTTTGTCGATACGCAACGAATAGCTATGCCGTTTGTGTAATTGCTTCTAAACGAGAGTGTCGTACTTGAGCGTGAGCGGCGAGATGGGCAGCCTTGGCCTGGGCGACCTCAGGTGTGTCTACTACCCGACCATCTGCGCCGATGGGCGCGCCGTACGTAATTGCAGGTGCATAAACGGCCAAAGGTGTGTATCTGTAGCCGAGCGTGTTTCTAGCGGCCTCGTAGGCTTGCGTAGCGAGATGCACCGCTTTCGCCTGCGCCACTTCCGGCGTCTCCAGGGGTCCCACCGGCAAGCCGAAGTGATAACCCAGATAAGCTGGTTGGGCGATCGCAAGTGCGCAGAGCGCGGAGAGAACAATCTGCAAAAATGAATAGACACACGTTATTTCTATGGTTTTGCAACATATAAGTTTGCTTTTCACAATTAGAACGATTGACTTAATTAAATTTGAGAAATTTTGTTGCGGAAAAAGTTAATTATTAACAATAGAGAATATTGCTCGATTTATTATAGATACGCAACTAATGAACGAATATTAAACGAAATTAGATTTGACAACAATCGACATTGGCGTGATTAGTTGTGGCGGACAATGAAGTGAGATGTTCGTGAGAGCTTCTGGCAATCCGCTGCCGGTTAACGATACTTACAAGAGACTTCATGTCTTATCAGTGTGGTCAAGCGCTGCTGGATGATTACCAGTACTCGCTGTATGAACTGCTATGTCGTATCACGTTGAGATGCGGATCTCCTTTTATATATGTGAATCCCTGGGTAGGGAGTCGTCGACCCGTAGGAGGGGACCACACCCTGCAGCAAGTGTTACACTTCAAAGTGCTGACATTGACATTACGTTAATGAGATCCTACCACCGATGTTTGCCTGAATCTGCCCGGAGGGGGATATTCCTCAACTGCGGAGATCATCGCCGAGGTCAGTTTTGTATCGTCGGCGGCTTTTTTAGCCGGCTCTTGTTCACGTTCATCATCGTCAGGAGGCCGCCAAGGGCTCGAGCTGCTTGGATCTACCAGGAAGTCGCTCGAACGAATCGATTGGTTTTTGTTGGGGAGATCGAGTGGAAGGTAACTCGGGCCACAAAGACTTCCTTTATTATCGCGAAAATGATAGTTAATGACTGTTTTCGTCATGAGAGCCATGTAATAATTTGCAAGAGCATTTTTTTCATGTAAGTACATGGATATTTTTTCATGTAAGTACATGGATATTTTTGCAGTGAGTTAATGAGGTTCGCTGGTATTAATCATCTTGCGAATATTTTATGACATCAAACTCGATATACGAATAAATTTAAATATGTCAGTGTATTTTGAATTATATATATATTTTTAATATTATAATTATTTTTTAAAATAATATTTAATGAATATCATTTAATCTCATGTACTGAATTTTTTGCTAGTAAGTTTAAAAGTTATTGCATCTGTTTTAAATAATGCACGCATAATTATAGCATAAAACATCCTGGGGACATCTTGGATATCCTCAGGATGTCCTGAGGCAATTCTCAGGACATTGGGATATCCCTAAGATCGGGATGTCCCCAGGATGTTTTGTGCTGTCTGGGAATGCAGTTATATTCTTTTTATTCTTGGTGTTTCAATTTCCATTCATGAATTCCTATTTTTAATGAACAGGATTTTTATTTAAAAAAATTGACAAGGTCGCGTACTACCGTAATTAGCAGACGGCTTTTGTTCCACTGCGTTACCGTAACTTCCCGATATTCTGAGAAATGACTGATCAACGGCCGTCCTTGCAGATATCAAAGTAAAACTGCCAAAAGAAAGGGAAAGGGATGAGGTGCAATTAAAATGTATGGAGTGCAACGAGAAAAAGAAAGCGCCGACCAACCAAAACGAAGGTCGACTGCGCGTCCTCGAGATCAAACGATTTTTCCAGAGCGGTTGAGACAGACGAATGGATCCGCTCTTTCGATTTGACGTACGCGATATTTATCGGAGCGTCTTTTTACTCGCCATCGAAAATTCCACGGCAAGGTCTCACTTCCTGATGAGGCTCTTTTTGCAAATATTATTTGAATTGTTCAGTATTACATAAAAACACGCGACTATCTAAGAAAATATTTTCAATAAAAAATATTTTATTCCAAAATTTTCTTCGTGAAAATCAGAACACTTGGATTTCTATAATGATAGTGAATATTTTTCAAAGTCTGTATAGTCTTCGGTTTTTTTACACTCAACAATTTCTTTCTATTGCGTTCATTAAAATCAAAGTCATAACGCCTGTATAAGTGTTGTATCCTTGCATCGTTGCACGCGCTGTGCCAACGTAACGTCATTGAGCAATGCTCCAGATGTGATTGCATTTGCATAAAATAGCAAATCTTACAATTTGCATGTACAGAAATCAAGTAAATTCACAACCAATTAATTACTAAAACTGTTTTAATGTTTAATCAATTCGTGAGAAATGTCTTTGAAAAATTGATAGCAAAATCTACAATATGAAAAAATATATATTTAATAATTATTTTTATAAACATATATAATATGGAAACATTACATTAACTTTGAAGATTTTAAGGCACAAATAATTTTTGCTCATTTTTAATATTTCAAAATTAGATACGGAATTTATGTGGGCGTGTAAATAACTCACGGATCACCCAACGACTCGGAGAACAAAAGCCCTTTTCCTTGGAATTTGAGATAATCTCGGCACGCCCGATGACCCTATTGTCTATTAGCATAAACGCACATACGAAGCACAATCGAGGCGGGTATCTTAAATGCCCATTAAGCGACATTCGCAATTAGCTGGCTAACTTGGCGTTTTCCTTCAAGCATTCTCGAGCGTGTGGGCCGCGGCATCGATCCCGCAGCGATCCATAAATTCCGACTAGGAGGATCGAGCAGTTATATATCGTTAAACGAAAATACACTTCTTCATGTTAAGATAATTCATTAAAGTACAAGGATTCGCATATATGGAAAGTTGCTTTATTGTAAGAAAATTCCCTTCAAATTGACGAGAGAATAAGAATGAGAAAAAACCTGCAATACTTTATTTAATTGAACGCAAATGTACATCGATGAAAAGAAAATAAATATCTCGAAGGTTCGAATCGGAGCAGGAAGTATTTTTATTTGCATTTTTTATAGATCGCGAGGAATGCGTTACATTAGTATCGCAAACAACATCGTGTAACGGAGTTATTAAATATAGCTCGAGGTACCGACTTAATTAATTATTCACCTGAAAGCGATTTGAAATGCTGTGAACCTTGAATTGAATTTGGCTGCGACACATTAGTTAAGTGATCGGATCAATCATTTCTGGGATTCATTCGCGAGCATAAAAACATAATGAGGCGTGTTACCAGCGTGCGAGGCCGCAGGCGGAAGTTGACAGGTGTCCGCATACATCGATCTTTGGCAATTAATTTTATTTATAGCGCGTGTTGATTCATGATATCTCTTGAATCACATTTTTCTTTCTGTCCGTAACATTTATACATAAGTTAATAATGTTACTGATATGTTAAGATTTAATTGTTACGTGCGAGTAAAAATGCAAATATGTTTTATATGAATAAATTAAATTCTCTCAAGATACTTTAAGATAAATATTTTATAATTCAGAATTAACGCTTCTTTTACGATTTTGTAGATTTATTTTTCCAGCTAAAGAAATATTTCGAATGCCGGTAGAAACAGCAATGTTGGAGTTGTAGTACTATAATAAAATAAGAAACATCGGGTAACAACAAATATGTTTAATATTTCTTACAAACTAAAGCACAGGTAACATCGAATAAACGACTATTACGTGAGTCTTGTGGTTCAGTCTGAAAGTTATCGTCGAAAGTGATTTACGATGCATCATAAACTTCGCGTACATAGTATATCAAACTACGTCCATAAAATTAATCTAGAAGCTTGAGCGAAACTATGCAATGTGCTGTAATATACAATAACAATATTAATTTCATAATTCTAGTTTATCAGTACATCATTGTTCGTCTCATCGTCAATTAGCCGCAGGAAAGGATTAATTCCTGAGCATATTAGCGTCTTTTCTAATCAATATTAATCTTGACAAAATCTTAATTTAACGAAATTTTAATTATTAATCCTGTGAAAGCAAAATTAGTAATCGTAGTAACTGTGGCGGCCGTGAAGCGCGTCGTTATAAGCGGCGAGGTGAGCTTGTCTGGCGTGTTCTACTTCGGGGGTGTTAATCACTTTGCCGTCGTGAGACAAGGGAGCTGACGAGTCATAATAATTGTGACTATAAGCCGGCGGCTTGTAAATCTGCGAATGATACTTATTTATGACGACAGGTGCCGAGGAAGCTATGTGATTATAAGCCGCCAAGTGTGCGGCTTTAGCCTGTGCCACTTCCGGCGTATCTATCACGCGACCCTAAAAATAAAATAAATGAAAAACGATAGTGATAAACTTTTACTTTTTGTACTTAAGTTTTTTTTAAACGCTGCCTATTATCTAATTATTATAATTATAAAACAATTTAAAAAAATATGTAAAATTGATTTAGAAACTTAAAAATTTTTAGCGCGTTAGTGGTATAATTTATTTTGTTCAAATACGACAATTAATCCTGAAGATCTTTTTTTCCGCGAGATGGTGAAAAAAAATGGATTAGAACATTATAAAATTTCAATTTTTATAAGAAGTAATGAGTGAAGAATTAAAAAAATCTTACCTCGGAATCTAGCGGAGCGAACGGCCCGTGATATCCGTATTCGTTATGATACATCTCGTGACCGACCGATACGGGTTCCGAATATCCGTGATAATCCTCATCTTCCGCGTAGGAAGCCACGCTATGTGGAACTTTTGCGGCAGCTTCCGCCACGGCAGCGAGATGCGCTGCCCTGGCATGCGCCACTTCCGGCGTATCCATGACCCTTCCGTCGTGACCTATGGACGCGGACGGTCCATGGTATTGATAATGTGTGGCCGAAGTTAGAGCAACGATGGATATCAAGATAATCTGTAAACGCGAACATGAGTGATGTAAAAGCAATGCTGGCTTTTCGATTAAAATTGCCAGCACTGTAATTTTGCTTATCGGGAGATTACTTACAAAAGACTTCATGGTTGCGTTCAATCCGAGATGGAATGCTACTGTTTTGTAACTACTGGGCGTAAAATGCTTGGTTTATATACAATCGGGGATTTATTCTTACCTAACAGCGTCACCCCACCAATGCGAATGGCTGTTCAGCTAACATTCTTCCGTGCGATTTTTGCGATGCACATTTTCTGATATTTTTGCATCGTGTCAGTGTCGCGAAACTGTTACAAAAATGCGTTTAATTTTTTAGTATAATATTAATTTATTATTTAGGTCGTGGCGTTTAAACAGTCGTCTAATGATTAATTAGATTTCGCGATGAAGCAATTGGATCAAATATATTTAATTGTCCGACACTTTTTATGTTGTTCTCGAAGTAAGCCGCAATAACTCACTAAGCAATTAAACACATCTACGTGATGGAATTTTCAATAGCTTTTCATTCAATGTAATGGCTGTAGATTATTATTACGGTCATTAAAGCATACAAATCCACTTTATTATACATTATTGATTAATTATAGTAAAAAAACATAAGTGTTTAATTCTAAGATAACAATATTTATATCTATATAGAATTAATGTATTAAAGATAACATCGAAAAATTTTTGATTAGACGCGACAACGAAAATTCGTCTCAATATTCTTTTGGATTTATATTAATTCCAACCTTGAGTTTTTCTTCAAGGCATTCGTTGTTAATCGGGCTTGATTGATCAAAAATGTTTCCATGCCGCTGACGCTTTTTTTGCCAAACCAATTGTACAATATCGCTCCTAGAACGTTCACGTTTTCGTTGTTGACGCAATCATCATTTCGCTCTTACCGGCATTCCAGCCTCCCTTTATCCCTCCCCTTTTCACTCTCTCTTTTTCTCTCTTTTTCTGCTCTTTTTCGTTGCTCTATAATATCTCAGTGTATTTTTAAATCTCGCAAGATAGTCTCTTCAGTCTATCTCCATCTCGCTTACTCAGAATTGCGCTTGGCGAAACAGAAAAACCGTACCCCTCTCGCGTTCCTATTATGTGAAAATCAAGCCGGGCCCATGTCCACGTTTCATTTACGCTATTTAATACAGACGAGATATAGGCGATTGTATTGTTCGACGGCTATATAAGGTCTACGCGATCCGATCGAACGGGCAGAGATTCGCATTATCTCGGACAGACGCGCGCAAGTATGAAGTCTCTCGTAAGTAAAGAATACGTATATTATAAAGTAATTATAATTCTCTTCCCGCTTCTCATCTCTTTGAGAATAATTAAAAATTTCTCGTTTTCGCAATTTTTATCTATCCACGTATCTGATCAATTACACTAGTATGTCACGGAACGGCAATAACAATAATTACTAAAACGGATTCGTGATTCATAATTATTTTTTTATTTTTACAAATATAAATATTAGAAAGTATAAAAAGAAAGCTTTATTGCCCCCTTTAAAAGTTACAAATAAGCAATAATATTTACTTTAGTCCTTGTCGGTTTCTATTGTTATTACTTAGACTCCACTGCTGACTCAGATATCTCTCATTATTATTAGTGGATTTATCTCAGGATTTCACTAAATCTCTTATCTGCCCGTGCTTGCAGCTCGTCTTATCATGCCTGTCGTTGTCGACGCTGGCTTTGCCCGCGTATGCGCCTTATCAGGCATACGGAGGGCAAGCCGGGTATTATCACGGACCGCCGGCCCCGCTGGCTCACGATGGTCGAGTGGTCGATACGCCGGAAGTGGCGCACGCTAAACAAGCTCATCTGGCGGCGCACGCCGCGGAGGCTGCCAAAGCGGCGCATTACGGTGGATACGATGCAGGATATTCTGCGGACGGGAATCACGGAAATTACGTAGAATACCACAGCGCGTATCATGGACCGCCGGCGCCGCTCGGTCACGATGGACGAGTAGTGGATACGCCGGAAGTGGCTCACGCCAAGGCCGCGCATTTAGCCGCTCACGCCGCGGAGGCCTCCAAGGTCGCTCATCTGTCACATTACGATCCTTACTCGCACGCCAAGTGGTGAATCCTTCGCCGAATATGTTACAAAAGAAATAAAGTTTATTCGCATTGATAATACGAAAGAAAGTAGTGGCTTTAAAAGATTCTTGCGCTAATATGTGTTCTTATATTTATGCTGGCTGATATATATTTTATTATATATAATTGTAAAGATATTGTATATGCACTCTATAAATTTAGTAATATTAAAAGCAAATAAAATATAATATATAAATAATGAAGGTAAATCATGAATTTCTTTATCCTTATACAAGTGAAAATGTAGGACGCGAGCGAATTATAGGGGCGCGTAAGACCCAAGTATTATATATGTGTAAGACCTAAGTATTATATATGTGTAGCAAACTTGCAAGTATATGCATCGCAAACCTGGATTAATGGCATCATAATATTCTTCATGGCATTAACTCCATTCTTCTTCATGTAATTCATTAACTCACTCGCTGTCCTTGCACTTGTTACAAGAATAACATATAATCCTCCCTAATGGCGGACAAGATAAAAATTCTTTACAAAATTCTCTTAGCATACTTTCGACTGGATCACCGAATCCTAGCGTCCGTCATTTTCCTTTGCAACTTTTGTATCACAGGTGTGTGATTACTGAATTTGATCGCATTCTTTTGACATCATTACCAACGGGAATATAATAGTCCTTGCACAAACAGTACTTGAAACACGATTGCACAATTAGTACTTTTGTTAAAAATCTGTAACAGATGTATGATCTTATATTATTTTTTTTCAAAGATAATGATATAAAAGATAATAGAAGAAAAGCACAATTACTAAAGTACAAAAACTATAGACTATTGTTAATCAAGATATAAAAGATATGCTTTGGCTACAATTTTGATTGCAATAATCTTATAAGCTTATAATAAAAGAAAGAATACCAAAGAGAATTGCTGTCCATCATGTAACAATATCACGACTTATGTGCATAAATTCTAGAAAATTCTGTACAAGTCCGACTGGACTATAACCACCAAGACCTAAGCTCTCAAAAGTTGCTTCTCCGTTTGGATTTTCACAACATTTTTCATTATCTCCTGCAATGGTGTTGGTTGATCTACATATATATAAGATGCAGATTAACAAATAGTAAATAGTAGAAAGTTTCAATATTGATTACTTTAATTACAACATTTTAAATATTTATTATAACACAAACATTAAAAAATTAAAGTCGCATAATGCTAGAAAATGTTTCTATAAATACCTGATATTTCATCATCTGGATTGCTTTGTGATGATATTTCGTTTGTACTGGCATAACAAACTAAAGAGATTCCTGTAACTCTGTAGTGTTTGTTTAAATTCAACAAGAAATTGCTTCTGGGAGTTCTGTTTACTTGAGCCACTAAATAAATATGTGTGTAATTGCTGTCTAAATAAACCCAAAACAATACAATTAAATATTTTTTTGAGCAAAATTGTATTTTAAACAACACTAAATTATATCCTTTACATAAAAATTATATATAAAATCCCCAAAAAATAAATAAAAAAATTAATAAATGTCTTATATAAAAACATTTATAGCAATCACAAAGTGCATATGTACGTGCCGTCTTAACTTATAAATTTGGCAAACCGAGCTGATGGCATATTATTCGCGTTGTTATATTAAGTATCGAAAAGATTAATTTTGTTTTTGTAATTAATTGATAATATCTTTTTTAAATTAATTACCTGAAATCAATGATTCTGGCCTTATCAAACGTGCTAAATTCTTTCTTTTCACATGACACTTGTTCATTGCACTTTTCCATGGGAGATTGACAATCTCGACAATTGTCCCATGCGCACGTGATCTCCCGAAGGATTCCGACATAGGCCGATCGGTGCTACTGCCACGCAATCTATACAAGTGATTCAGGTCATTGCCCTTTCCACATGACTAATCAATCTAGGTCAACTATTAATAGCACCTCCGCATTCCAAGCGGCGCATCTTCAGTCTATTTATAAACGGCACAGGTACCCAATTTTCAAAACGCTATAACTCAGCAAAAAATTGACGTAGCGACATGGGACAAAAACGGATCTTCTCAGTTTTTTATACTGCATATGTTTATGTACACTGCACATGCTCTTATCATGACACGCATATACATATTTGTATTAGATTTAGATAAAATTAGGATATTTTATATATCCGAATTATTTAAATAGTTTAAAGTAAAAAAATAATATTATCTACACTATTTTAGGAGTATTGCATCTTGCGAATGTACTAACAAGTGTTTTTCTACCTTTATTTCGAGTCAGATTTCGCGACACGGCATATAGAGTTGGAGTATATGATAGATCAAATTAAGGTAGAAAAATAACGTTTATTTTCTATTAGAATAAGATGTACATAAAAAATGTTTTTATTACTATGAGAATAAAACCGTCCCGTATATACGTATATAATGCAGAGATTTTTCCAGCAATTTCAGTTTTGTGGCAAAGTGCTAGAAATATGTTAAAATTAATCACGAGTTTAGCTGTCGATCGCACATATCGATTACTCACAGTCGGCCGACACTATATCAAGCTTGAGTAAACGCCTAAGCTCTACGTCCCGTCGAGGTTGCGTTGGTGACAAATGCGCAATTCCTTTCAGAACTGTAGGGTTCGATCGATGAACTAAGTGACCAGTTACGACACCGCAAGTCCGTTTTAGTAATTCAACAACTATTGTTATTGTTCGTGACATACTATTGTGATTGATTCGGTATGCAGATAAATAATTCCATAAACTGCGATATAGTGGGTGTAACTTGTTGCGCGATTGTAAGTTAAAGATAGCTGAACACGTGACAGAATTGTAAATCGAGTTTGCGTAGAGTATAATAAGATACTGCTTCGTACATATCTTTATCTTCTTACATAACTTTCTTATTAATAAAGATATTTTACTAATAATTTTACTTGCAAATTATAACATTATTATATCAACGTATAAAATACTTGTATCTTTTAATTCTTAAATACGTCAGATAAATAATTTAAAAAAGAAAAATGTAAATAGATAATTTATATTTTTATTATACGCTAAATTTATAGAGGGCGTAAATAATTCATAATACTTTACTCAGATAACGAAAAGATAATTTTTTTAATAATTTCGTAACTAAATTTTAAAGTAAAAAATTGAATGATGCAATTAAGAAGTTAAATGTGCGTAAAATGCGAACTAAATTGCAAAAGTTAATTGTTTTGTACGATGCATGAGACTCCTCGACGTAGTTAATTTCTTAGCGCCGCATATGGTAAAGTCAAGCACCTTTGCACTGTGCTTGAAAGATCTTTAATAAGCCTCATTGTTTCAGGCCTTCAAATTGCTTTCGCGCGGTGCGAATGATTAGGAATTTACGGATGACGTACATGCGCGCGTTGCACATAGCCGCATATCTCGGAGGTGCATTTTTACTCACGACGGTGTCGCGTGCGGTGTCATTGTTAACGCATGCTGTAAATGTTACGGGGCAGGGCATGTTTAAAGAGAGCATTTTCCTGGGTGTGGTTGTACCCCGCGCGATTGCGGAGCCAGGTGGGGCATGACAGCGCGCCCGATCCGGCGCATTCGCACCCGTATAAATTGCACCATGCTCGTTGATGGCAGCCGTAATGCGGATCTAAACGCACATATCGATAGTCGCGACAGTCGGAATCTGGGCAACGGAATACCATCGCAGAACTCGTCGTGATGATCGGACACCTTGTGAGTACATCCGAAAGCTGCGGGAGGATTTTTGCTCGCTTCAAACAGAAACGCTGAGAAAAATTACTCGAGTAAAAATACAATCTTCAATTGTAGATCCTTTTGTTTGCAATGTCGAGCGCCGTTCTGGCGGCTCCACAGTGGTACGGACCTCATGCCTCTCCAGCACCATTGGGCCCGGACGGCCGTGTGGTGGACACACCGGAAGTCGCGCAGCTGAAAGCTGCCCACTTGAACGCTTTGGCGGAGGCTAACGCGCGCGCGCCGAAGGGACCGGGAGCAGTTGGCGCTTACGTTGGACCTAGTGGACCATACGCTGCTGCAAATTATATTCCGCAATACAGGTTTATAAACTGTTGCATGATTCTTTTTTGTTTAAAATATTTGTTAAAGAATTTATTACAAAATAAAATAGATATTTACGCGCATAGGATTGCAAGTGTTTGCTCAGATATTCGAAAAAGAGCAATGCGGCCGAATGAATGTGTGGTGACTTCAATGCATGCACAGCTCATTAATGCATTTGTGCGTATTAATGGCGTGTCGCGTATTAAAATCATGGTGCTTTCAAGTATTTGGCTGCACTGCTCTTCGGCATCGCGTTCGAATAACTGAGTATCTATTTGCGATCTTATATATGTAAATATCTATTACACTACTCCAGAAAAAATAAGGAAACTTTTTAGTCGCTCAAAATTAAACAATTTTCAAACCGTTGTCACTCGGTGAAAAATGACCGCAGACAAAAATTAGAAAAACATTTTGAAGCTTGCAGTTGTACTTTCATTTATTTTTGACTGTTTAAAAAAAATTTTTATTTTACAGCTCTGAATACGAAAAAAGAACATATTGTTATGTTCTCAAAATTACATATTTTCAATACTCTGTTGCTCGATAAAAAAGTTTTTCTCGCAAAATTGATAAAAAGTATAAAAAACTACAATATTTTATTTGCAAAACGCGATATTTTAAATTTTGCTATGATTTTTTGGTCCAAGTTTTGCTTAAGCGACTTTGCCTAATTTTATTTTATTGTTATTTAAATTTCTGTTATCCGAAAAGAATTAAAATTTAATCGAAATTAATTGTCCCGAATTGTCTGAATTAAAATTTGCCAAGCTTTGTTATCTATTCACTTCTGTAGTTACAGCGGGCCGCCGGCTCCGTTGGGCCCGGACGGACGTGTAGTCGACACACCCGAGGTCCAGCAAGCCAAGGCCGTACATTTCTCTCTCTACAATGCGGAAGCGCAGCGCGTGCCAGCCGGTCCAGCTGATCCAGTTGCCGTCGGCGCTTACGATCCGTCCTGGAACAATGGCGCTTACAATCCCGCTTGGAACGGTCCGGCTCGCAATTATTATTAAAAACGAACGTCGATCATTCGCGAGGAGATGACTGGATCAAGAACGGCGCGAAACACGCACATCTGCTCATTCAGAAGATTTCGAAATCGATCCGGCGAAATCGGTCGATCGATCGATCGATCACACTGGATCGCCCACAAAGTCCTCTCTAGCTACCTCAGAATTGGAAAAGACTATATTTTATCAGCTACCTCCGATCAGTCCAAGCGAACGATATTCATCCTTTGCCGATGCATCTCTTACTGATCTTCTTGCCTGCATTTCTACCGCTGCATTTCATGCATTTCCTATGCGCGAGTACTTGTATCCGGTGTATATGATGAAAAAAAGATATATACTTATTTAAATAAAAATATATATATATGGAATAGAGCAGTGTATATAATTCGTCCCTCTAACTTTAATATTCAAGAACGAAAAATTTAATTTTTGATAACTATATAAATCTAGTAGTAACAATTAGGAAACTTGCACAAACTTATGTCGTAATAATGTCTGCGTTGCGATATATTAATCTTGAAGGCTTTTTCTCGCAAATTCCAGTCCGAAAATCTGGGAGAAAGTATTTTATCGCATTTATTTACAATCATGCGCATTATTTATGTATGCGTATCGCTTGTATGTACCGTTATTTAAATCTGTTTCCGCAAAAGCACAGTGACATAGATCTTTATCTATTGAACTCCGTAGTTGCATACCTCGTCAGGCACGATTAACCGCGTCCTTGCTACTGGCACGAGTTGTCTAGAATCGCGCAGGATAACTGCCTGGTGTTAATCGCAGAATCAGTCATAAGTGAAACCGGTTTCTTCGTCGTCTTCGTAATTAAATTTTCTCTCTTATCGCTAAACAAAATCAACTAATGAAGAATGATTCAATTTATATAGTCTTTCATCATCGCGATAAAATTATCCTAGGAATAATTTGATCAATTTTTCTTTTATATCTTCTCAAATATACAAATGCTTCTCACATATCGTTTACATTAATTTTCAGCTCAATTAAATCGATGAGTATTGATTAATTTAAGAAAAAGTTTGTTATTGCGTCTTCAGACAAGTTTCTTAATTTTATCGATAAATATAACATATATATTATTTTATAAAATACTTTGTGTTATAATAAATATATCTCTTTCCGAATACAAATACTTGATCATTATTTAATAAATTTTCTGAAAAATATATAAACTTTTGTAAAATATATTATTGTTACAAGTGTACAGTATATTATATTTTATTTCTCTTTTTTCTTTCTTTTTTCATACAATTATTTCCGTGCGCATTCTGGCTCGCCATCTCGTTGATTCGCTTCGTATTGTGCGTTTGTGTTTTTTACGCACCACCCTTCTTCCTGCAATGCATCAGTGCAAAGTGCATTCAACCGAACTTTTCTGTGGTTGCAAAACGCAGACGACCGATTCACGGACGACCAGCCGGAATCACAAATCACCCGATGATCTTTCTCAAGGTGGTCCTCTTCTTACTGCCCTTCGAAACTTGCTACACGTTCGACGGGCAGATTTATATAAATAAGTAAAATTTAAATATTTAGTCTTTGTCAATAAAATAATTTGTTTAAAAATATTTGTAACTTTTTTAAGATTAATTATATAATCAGCTTTAACTCTAAAAAACGATTTAAACTGTTTATTACGTTTAGTTTTCACAGATATTATAAAAGTTTTTGTTCTGTGTGTAATTTTTTTTAGAAAAATTGAACGCAACTGGATGAATTAATTCTATTTGAGGTC